TCGACAAACCTGTTTTTGCTTTGTCATTATGGGGTATTGTGTGTTGATTGATGACGAAAAAACAATTTAATCAATTTTAGAATAAGGCTGTAACCTAACAAAATGTGGAAAAAGTCAAGGGGTCTGAATACTTTCCGAATGCACTGTATGTGAAAACATGTATAATGCTTCACTTGTTATGAGCATATATGTTATGACATTTGTGTAGAGACCTCTCATCTGGTAAGGTAGATTGTAAAAATAAAAGCAATGTCATTCAAGAGGCATATTACATTTATTTTTTAAACTAGATGAATGGCCCTAAATTTGCCAGTCAGCTCAAGAGAGTGGGGACAGGACCAGGGACTGCCCCATTGGTGAGATATACAGTACAGCTGTTTTACTGAGTCAAATAACTGCTTACTTCCTTGGCTGTTTGTGGACCCACTGTGACCACTGATACGGAAATGTTTGCATGCATGACTGTAGTTGCTTTGACTGTAGTCGCTTTGACTGTAGTCGCTTTGACTGTAGTCGCTTTGGATAAAAGTGTCTGCTAAATTGCATATATTATTACTGTATCTTATTATTAACTTTAATGGTCCTTGGAGTCTTTGAACTTGGGGACCAATGGGGGCAACTGCTTTTTTTAAACAATGTGTTTGTGTTCCTCTCTCTTTCTCTCCCAGGCTGCTGCAGCAGAGTTTGTGTTTGTTCCGACTGAGAAGGTGAAGAGTGGGAGAGTATTTAATCTGAGGTACAACTCCACCAAGGATCACTACTGCAGGGTATCCAATGACAATGAGGACATCAGGGCTGGCACAAGACTGTGTGGAGGAAAGAGTCTGTGTTCAGGAAGCTGGAGAATGACTGGCAGATGGTTTGTTTTCATTCATGATATGTCATAAACGATAAGATGCAATGCTCTTATTGATTCAATGCAGTTCTTAAATTGACACATCAATGGGATACTTTGTGTTTCTATTCTGTCTTTTTTCTATTGGTCAGTCTTTGTGATCGTTAAGGCAAGGGCATTACTTTTTAGCAGAACTAATAATGAAGAAGTTGCATTTATCAATCTATCCAAACTTTGGATATGTTGCTTCTATAGGATGTGTGTATATCAACTGTAAATGTTTCCATATTTATGCTGTCTTTTTCCTGTCAGTAAATGTGCATTATGTCCTGTCAGGTGTATCTAGCTCGTACAGAGGGCTCATCGTCAGGGAACATCAGTTGGAAGTTGGACTGTGCTCCTGTAAGGATGAAGATAAAGACTGTCTCAGTCAGAGCATGCAGCCAGACCTTTCACTCTGGAACCTTCCGCTGGAGTCTGCAGTTTGGACAGAACACCACATACAGTGGAGAAAAAAAGTATTTAGTCAGCCACCAATTGTGCAAGTTCTCCCACTTAAAAAGATGAGAGAGGCCTGTAATTTTCATCATAGGTACACGTCAACTATGACATACAAAATGAGAAAAAAAATCCAGAAAATCACATTGTAGGATTTTTAATGAATTTATTTGCAAATTATGGTGGAAAATAAGTATTTGGTCAATAACAAAAGTTTCTCAAGACTTTGTTATATACCCTTTGTTGGCAATGACACAGGTCAAACGTTTTCTGTAAGTCTTCACAAGGTTTTCACACACTGTTGCTGGTATTTTGGCCCATTCCTCCATGCAGATCTCCTCTAGAGCAGTGATGTTTTGGGGCTGTCGCTGGGCAACACGGACTTTCAACTCCCTCCAAAGATGTTCTATGGGGTTGAGATCTGGAGACTGGCTAGGCCACTCCAGGACCTTGAAATGCTTCTTACGAAGCCACTCCTTCGTTGCCCGGGCGGTGTGTTTGGGATCATTGTCATGCTGAAAGACCCAGCCATGTTTCATCTTCAATGCCCTTGCTGATGGAAGGAGGTTTTCACTCAAAATCTCACGATACATGGCTCCATTCATTCTTTCCTTTACACGGATCAGTCGTCCTGGTCCCTTTGCAGAAAAACAGCCCCAAAGCATGATGTTTCCACCCCCATGCTTCACAGTAGGTATGGTGTTCTTTGGATGCAACTCAGCATTCTTTGTCCTCCAAACACGACGAGTTGAGTTTTTACCAAAAAGTTATATTTTGGTTTCATCTGACCATATGACATTCTCCCAATCCTCTTCTGGATCATCCAAATGCACTCTAGCAAACTTCAGACGGGCCTGGACATGTACTGGCTTAAGCAGGGGGACACGTCTGGCACTGCAGGATTTGAGTCCCTGGCGGCGTAGTGTGTTACTGATGGTAGGCTTTGTTACTTTGGTCCCAGCTCTCTGCAGGTCATTCACTAGGTCCCCCCGTGTGGTTCTGGGATTTTTGCTCACCGTTCTTGTGATCATTTTGACCCCACGGGGTGAGATCTTGCGTGGAGCCCCAGATCAAGGGAGATTATCAGTGGTCTTGTATGTCTTCCATTTCCTAATAATTGCTCCCACAGTTGATTTCTTCAAACCAAGCTGCTTACCTATTGCAGATTCAGTCTTCCCAGCCTGGTGCAGGTCTACAATTTTGTTTCTGGTGTCCTTTGACAGCTCTTTGGTCTTGGCCATAGTGGAGTTTGGAGTGTGACTGTTTGAGGTTGTGGACAGGTGTATTTTATACTGATAACAAGTTCAAACAGGTGCCATTAATACAGGTAACGAGTAGAGGACAGAGGAGCCTCTTAAAGAAGAAGTTACAGGTCTGTGAGAGCCAGAAATCTTGCTTGTTTGTAGGTGACCAAATACTAATTTTCCACCATAATTTGCAAATAAATTCATTAAAAATCCTACAATGTGATTTTCTGGATGTTTTTTTCTCAATTTGTCTGTCATAGTTGATGTGTACCTATGATGAAAATTACAGGCCTCTCTCATCTTTTTAAGTGGGAGAACTTGCACAATTGGTGGCTGACTAAATACTTTTTTTCCCCACTGTAGTTCTCAGGAGGTGGATGGATGATTGATACATGTTTGTCAGATATATTTTTGTCTGGTTTATGTGATCCCTTTCAGGATTAAATTGGAAGCCTTTTTTCAAATTGCAAATTGTATACTGGTACTTAGTGATTTGTAAATGTAATAGGGATATATTATAATTTGATAGTCAGAGAGGTGTGACATTGATTTGCATGTGCACTTAAATTATTAGATTTTTTTTCTTCCTTATCTTGCATAACAATAGCTAAACATGTTTAAGGATTCGTCACGTTTTCGAACACAGACAGGGAGATGCATTCTGTTTTGGGTCTTTCTTGATCCTTGGAGCTGGTCATGGAGGCGGAGCTAGCCGGAGGAGGAGAGTCGTCATGGCAACACTCCCAGATGTTCCGACGGACTTTGAATGAGCGAAAGGAATCCTCGTCGGAAATCCTCGTCAAGATGGAGGAGGACGATGCTTAATGATGGAGACTCTCAGTGCGTTCGATCGCTCTGAGCAAGGCGCTACGTTGGTTCGCTAATCTTAATCAAGTAATGAGTAGTTATTTTGGGATGCAACATGATGTATAGATCAGAGATTCTGCTCAGTGCCTTGCTCAAGATTATCACCTTGAATACACTGACTCTGCATAGTCATGTATAGTATATTCATATGCGTCTTGGTGCTTATGAGAAAAACGGAGAAGTAGTAGTTTGGTGATGTTGTTTGTGGGTACAGGATGGATGGATGGATGGATGGATGGTAAGGTAGTCCAATAATCCTTTGGGATCTGTGTGTCTTGAATCAATAATCTTGTATTGATTACAGATCTTGTAATGATGCTGCTTGGATATTTACTGCCAGTAATGTCACAAGACCAAGACCCAGCTTCTGTATGACACAAACGCCTTTGTTATCTAGACTGTCTCTTCCAAAAGAGGAGTTACTTACTTGACTTAATCCTCTTGGAACCTTTGGGAGCATATGGCGTCCCCCATGGCTTTCCACCTCAAAGGGGTCTATGGATCAGTATGGCCTGGCTGCAACCCCCTGCCATAACAAGGTTCTGGCTCCTGACACAGAATAGGGATATATGACCTGTGAGCCTAAAGTCCATCTGCTATGGAGTTTCCACTCGTCTTTTGAAGAAACCAATATGATTTGTGTAATTGTTATATGTAATGTTTGAATGGACACCAGAAAGCCATGTAACTATTAACAATGTTGTATGTCTGTATCCACTTATGGTTATGTATATACTGGTATTCTACATTTATTTGTGGTGAATGCATGATGGAGACCTTTGTTAAAATACTTGAACTACTACTACCTTGCAGAAATCCAAATTATATGAAAGGAGTTAATGTGTCCTTGTTTAAATATGTAAATTGTGCAATCGGTATAACAAAGGTATTTCTTTTTACAGATGAATTGTTGTTTCATACACAGTCTATGCCTGGACTACATGGGTGCCTTGGTAAGAAAATTTACTGCGGTTGGTGTGTTTCTACTTCCACCTACTGGTTACAAATTGCAAGTACATTGTGGGGCATGTATTCTTTCATTGGCTGAAGTACCGGCGCCTCGAAAAGTGAGCCCCGGATTGGTGGGTTCCGCTGTTGGGATTGTCGCGGTGCGGATGGTGGAGCCGGATGGAGGCAGGCGGTGGTGTTTTTATTTCTGAATGAAGATTTAGGGTATTAAATTACAGGCGTATTAAAAATAAATTTTATTTATACATTATTTCAATTTATTTTGTACTACATGAAATGCTGTGAAACTATTTAACGTTTGGATTTTGTACAGTAATTTATGCATTTAGGTAGCAAGCAAGCTTTGTTGAGGATTTCAGGCCTAGATCTAACCACCGCTCGTCGATTTTAACAATAGCCGCGATACACTCCCTCATCTGGAACTATTTTGACAGACATTTTTAAACTGGGACGGATACAGAAAATAACTCAATGTGGTCCGTTAACTGAAATAATTCCTGAGTTGATGGACTATATTGTATGCAGGACTTTTCAGTATTTTATCTGCAAGTAGTATCACGAAAATTTAGGGAAACAAAAGGAAGATGTCCAACGGCGCAGCAGGAAGCGGGGGTCTGACTTGGGTGGTAAGTTACTATTTTGTTTTAATGTTGGATTACTGGACAGGTTTGCTTTATCGCTTCAGCTAGCGTTCATCATTTTGCCAGGATGCACGAGAGAAATCCCCAGTTTGTCACGAGTTGGACATTTTAAAATGGCCAGTGATGATGCTAACTAGCCAGCAGCTAATACACCCCTTTAAACTAGCATGCGCCTATTTAAGATGGGCCAAACTGTTGTATATTCATTTAGCTATGATTGCCCGGCAGAAATACAATCACAGATTGGTCCACCAACGTCAGCAGATACATTGTTTTCTGTAAACATGATGATGTCATTAGGCAACATTGCTTTCCTGCAAGGCACGGGTGAATGAGCCACTTGGCCAATGGCAATGCCCCAAAAAGTTCTTTGTTGTAATACACGTCAAGTGTGATTGATAGTCATTTGCCTATTTTGCATGCACGCTGTTTGAATATAATATCTTAAATGTGTCTCAAAAATACAGTTATTCGTAGGTAGCCAAATAAATAAAAAAAAATGTATGCGAACATATTCCTTAAATGTATTTGCACGACATTTGGCCAGCTAGCAGCTTCCAGCCCGTAGATGAAGCGGCACAATTTGGGACCTGTATGAAGCTAGCCACATAAGGATTTAGCCATAATAGTGGAATTTGCGGTTGACCTTCAAAATAAAAGTCCACCATTTGAAAGTGATTCAAACGGATACAAATAGTGGAATCATGCCAAATTTGGACTAGATAATGTTAAACAAGGTCGGAGTGTTGTTCTATAAATTCAACAAAAGACAATAATAAAGTTAATTTGACAAATGTTTTTGGTTGAAATCGCACTGTGGATGTATTAGACTTTATAATTGAGTTGGGGGCATACTTACATGCACTGTACAGCCTAACCAATCGATGTTGCACCCATGAAATGGGGAATCAGCCTACTCCGTGACACTCACAGAACACAACTGTGTAGAGATTACACAAATATTAGCGTCTTCACTCTTATGACAGGACTTTGTGGGAAATCACCTTTCCAGTCAGTCTACTTTGTGTATTAGACATTCATATTGCACTGTACAGCCTAACCTATGGATGTTGCCCCCATGAAATGGGTAATCAGCCTATACAGTGACACTCACAGAACACAACTGTGTAGCGTTTACACAAATATTAACGTCTTAGCTCTTATTAGAGAATTTTAACTGTGGGAAATCAGCTTACTATACAGCCTATTGTGCATATTGAACATTCATATTGGACTGTACAGCCTAAAACAGAGATTGTTCACTCATTAAATGGGCTATTAGTCTTTTCTGTGACACCCACAGAGGCTGTACAGTCCAGTATGTATGTTGAATACATACAGTGCATTCGGAAAGTATTCAAACCCCTTCACTTTTTCCACATTTTGTTATGTTACAGCCTTATTCTAAAATTGATGAAATAAAATATGTTCCTCAATCTACACACAATACCCCATAATCACCAAGCGAAAACAGGTTTTTAGAAATTTTTGCAAATGGATTTAAAAGAAAAAACAGATACCTTACACTACCAGTCAGAAGTTTGGACACACCTACTCATTCAAGGGTTTTTCTTTATTTGTAAATTTTTTTACATTGTAGAATAATAGTGAAGACATCAAAACTATGAAATAACACATATAGAATAATGTAGTAACCAAAAAAGTGTTAACAATTTGAGATTCTTCAAATAGCCACCCTTTGCCTTGATGACAGCTTTGCACACTCTCACATTCTCTCAACCAGCTTCATGAGGTAGTCACCTGGAATGCATTTCAATTAACAGGTGTGCCTTCTTAAAAGTTAATTTGTGGAATTTATTTCCTTCTTAATGCATTTGAGCCAATCAGTTGTGTTGTGACAAGGTAGGGGGGTATACAGAAGATAGCCCTATTTGGTAAAAGACCAAGTCCATATTATGGCAAGAACAGCTCAAATAAGCAAAGAGAAACCTTTTTACCTAATTTCTACCAGCATGTTAAATGTGCAACCAGAGGAAAAAAAAACTATAGACCACCGTTACTCCACACACAGAGACGCATACAAAGCTCTCCCTCGCCCTCCATTTGGCAAATCTGACCATAAATCTATCCTCCTGATTCATGCTTATAAGCAAAAACTAAAGCAGGAAGCACCAGTGACTCGGTTAATAAAAAAGTGGTCAGATGACACAGATGCTAAGCTACAGGACTGTTTTGCTAGCACAGACTGGAACATGTTTCGGGATTCTTCAGATAGCATTGAGGAGTACACCACATCAGTCACTGGCTTCATCAATAAGTGTATCGATGACGTCGTCCCCACAGTGACCATACGTACGTACCCCAACCAGAAGCCATGGATTATAGGCAACATCCGCACTGAGCTAAAGGGTAGAGCTGCCGCTTTCAAGGAGCGGGACTCTAACCCGGACGCTTATAAGAAATCCTGCTATTCCCTCTGACGAACCATCAAACAGGCAAAGAGTCAATACAAGACTAAGATTGAATCGTACTACACCGGCTCTGACGCTCATCCGATGTGGCATGGCTTGAAAACTATTACAGACTACAACGGATTACCAGGACGTGTACTCCGAGCATGTGCTGACCAACTGGCAAGTGTCTTCACCGACATTTTCAACATGTCCCTGACTGAGTCTGTAAAACCAACATGTTTCAAGCAGACCACCATAGTCCCCGTGCCCAAGGACACTAAGATAACCTGCCTAAATGACTACCGACCCGTAGCACTGACGTCTGTAGCCATGAAGTGCTTTGAAAGGCTGGTCATGGCTCACATCAACACCATTATCCCAGAAACTCTAGACCCACTCCAATTTGCATACCGCCCCAACAGATCCACAGATGATGCAATCTCTATTGCACTCCACACTGCCCTTTCCCACCTGGACAAGAGGAACACCTACGTGAGAATGCTATTCATTGACTACAGCTCAGTGTTCAACACCATAGTGCCCTCAAAGCTCATCGCTAAGCTAAGGATCCTGGGACTAAACACCTCCCTCTGCAACTGGATCCTGGACTTCCTGACGGGCCCAGGTGGTAAGGGTAGGTAACAACACATCTGCCACGCTGATCCTCAACACGGGGGCCCCTCAGGGGTGCGTGCTCAGTCCCCTCCTGTACTCACTGTTCACCCATGAGTGCATAGCCAGGCATGACTCCAACACCATCATTAAGTTTGCCGACAACACAACGGTGGTAGGCCTGATCACCGACAACGATGAGACAGCCTATAAGGAGGAGGTCAGAGACCTGGCTGTGTGGTGCCAGGATAACAACCTCTCCCTCAACGTGACCAAGACAAAGGAGATGATTGTGGACTACAGGAAAAAAAAGAGGACTGAGCACGCCCCCATTCTCATCGACGGGGCTGTAGTGGAACAGGTTGAGAGCTTCGAGTTCCTTGGTGTCCACATCACCAACGAACTATCATGGTTCCAAACACACCAATACAGTCGTGAAGAGGGCACGACAATGCCTATTCCCCCTCAGGAGACTGAAAAGATTTGGCATGGGTCCTCAGATCCTTGAAACGTTCTACAGCTGCACCATCGAGAGCATCCTGACTGGTTGCATCACCGCCTGGTATGGCAACTGCTCGGCCTCCGACCGCAAGGCACTACAGAGGGTAGTGCGTACGGCCCAGTACATCACTGGGGCCAAGCTTCCTGCCATCCAGGACCTCTATACCAGGCGGTGTCAGAGGAAGGCCCTCGAAATTGTCAAAGGCTCCAGCCACCCTAGTCATAGACTGTTCTCTCTGCTACCGCACGGCAAGCGGTACCGGAGCGCCAAGTCTAGGTCCAAAAGGCTTCTCAACAGCTTCTACCCACAAGCCGTAAGACTCCTGAACAGCTAATCATGGCTACCCAGACTATTTGCACTGCCCCCCCCACCCCCACCCCATCTTTTACGCTGCTGCTACTCTGTTAATTATTTATGCATAGTCACTTTAACTCTACCCACATGTACATATTACCTCAACTACCTCAACTAGCCGGTGCCCCCACACATTGATTCTGCACCGGTACCCCCCTGTATATAGCCTCCCTACTGTTATTTTACTTCTGCTCTTTTTTTCTCAACACTTTTTTGTTGTTGTTGTTTTATATTACTTTTTTATAAAAAAAAAAAATGTGTTGTTGGTTAAGGGCTGTAAGTAAGCATTTCACGGTAATGTCTACACCTGTTGTATTCGGCGCATGTGGCAAATAACATTTGATTTGATTTGAGAAACGACAGTCAATCATTACTTTAAGACATGAAGGTCAGTCAATACGGAACATTTCAAGAACTTTGAAAGTTTCTTCAAGTTCAGTCGCAAAAACCATCAAGCGCTATGATGAAACTGGCTCTCATGAGGACCGACACAGGAATGGAAGACCTAGAGTTACCTCTGCTGCAGAGGATAAGTTCATTAGAGTTACCAGCCTCAGAAATTGCAGCCCAAATAAATGCTTCACAGAGTTAAAGTAACAGAGGGGACTGTGTGAATCAGGCCATCATTTGGATTTATTTTATTTTACCTTTATTTAACTAGGCAAGTCAGTTAAGAACACATTCTTATTTACAATGACGGCCTACACCGGCCAAACATGGTCAAATTGCTGCAAAGAAACCACTACTAAAGGACACCAATAAGAAGAAGAGACCTGCTTGGGCCAAGAAACACGAGCAATTGGACATTAGACCGGTGGAAATGTGTCCTTTGGTCTGGAGTCCAAATTTGAGTTTTTTGGTTCAAACCGCAGTGTGGGTGAACAGATTATCTCCGTAAAGCTTGGAGGAGGTGTTATGGTGTGGGGGTGCTTTGCTGGTGACACTGTGATTTATTTAGAATTCAAGGCACACTTAACCAGCATGGCTACCACAGCATTCTGCAGCGATACGCCATCCCATCTGGTTTGTGCTTAGTGGGACTATCATTTGTTTTTCAACAGGACAATGACCCAACACACCTCCAGGCTGTGTAAGGGCTATTTTATCAATAAGGACATTGATGGAGTGCTGCATCAGATGACCTGGCCACTTTTTTGGTTACTACATGATTCCATGTGTTATTTCATAGTTTTGATGTCTTCACTATTATTCTACAATGTAAAAAAATAGTAAAATAAAGAAAAACCCTTCAATGAGTAGGTGTGTCAACTTTTGACTGGTACTGTAAGTATTCAGACCCTTTGCTATTAGACTCGAAATTGAGCTCAGGTGCATCCTGTTTCCATTGATCATCCTTGAGATGTTTCCACAACTTGATTGGAGGCCACCTGTGGTAAATTCAATTGATTGGACATGATTTGAACAGGCACACACCTGTCTATATAAGGTCCCACAGTTGACAGTGCATGTCAGAGCAAAAACCAAGCCATGAGGTTGAAGGAATGGTCTGATGAAACCAAGATTGAACTCTTTGGCCTGAATGCCAAGCGTCATGTCTGGAGGAAACCAGGCACCACTCATCACCTGGCCAATACCATCCCTACAGTGAAGCATGGTGGTGGCAGCATCATGCTGTGGGGATGTTTTTCAGCAACAGGGACTAGGAGACTAGTCAGGATCAAGGGAAAGATGAACGGAGCAAAGTACAGAGAGATCCTTGATGAAAACCTGCTCTAGAGCGATCAGGACCTCAGACTGGGGCAAAGGTTCACCTTCCAACAGGACAACGACCCTAAGCACACATCCAAGACACAGCAGGAGTGGCTTCGGGACAAGTCTCTGAATGTCCTTGAATGGCCCAGCCATTGAACATCTCTGGAGAGACCTGAAAATAGCTGTGCAGCGACGCTCCCCATCCAACCTGACAGAGCTTGAGAGGATCTGCAGAGAAGAATGGGAGAAACTCCCCAAATACAGGTGTGCCAAGCTTGTAGCGTCATACCCAAGAAGACTCGAAGCTGTAATCGCTGCCGAAGGTGCGTCAACAAAGTACTGAGTAAAGGGTCTGAATACTTATGTAAATGTGATATTTCCATATTTTTTATTTTTATAAATGAGCAAATCTGTTTTTGCTTTGTCATCATGGGATATTGTGTGTAGATTGATGGGGAATAAAAAAAAAAAATGATTTTAGACTAAGGCTGTAACGTAACAATGTGGAAAAAGTGAAGGGGTCTGAATACTTTCCGAATGCACTAGATAATAAGCTGAATGCTTAATGTGGCTCATTTCACACTGGTTTTTAGAGTCTCACAATAAAAAGCTAAGATGATAATATTTGTGTAAACTCTACATAGTTGTGTTCTGTGGGTGTCACCGAGTAGGCTGATACTCAATTTCATGGGTGCAACATCCATAGGTTAGGCTGTACAGGAGAGTGTGAATTACACCATGACATTTGGGGGTCTCTGTATTGAGCAAGCGCGTGTACTAAATGTTTTATGGGCCTAATAACAAAGCCGTAATTTAAACGGTAAAAAAATATTTTCCTTTCATTGTGGCATGAACACATTACATTTTTCATCTGACGTCAAACAAATCACTTCAAAAATTAGGCTACCTGTGCATGTTCGTCCACTCCAAAAATAATAACAGCATCCAAACTGCATGTATACGGGTGCCATTTGATGAATGGAAATAGACATCTGTTACAAATCACCATGCCTAATGACATTCAGTGATTGCCATTGGTTAGGCCTACATTCATTGATGCGTCTTGCTGACAAATTGCTTAAACTGTCCCGGGAAAAACGGGATGGTCAACTTACTAGACTGGGCTACAATGTGTATTACCATGAACTTCAAATAGGCCTAGCGGTAGCCAGTGTCTAGTTCAGTGTTTAAAAAAAATAAAAAATAGGTGGTTAAAGCCTGATTGCCAGTCGTGGTGAAAAAAGTAACGCTCCCTGTACTTTCAATGCATTTTAATGAAAAAGGTGGGTACAAGGCGTTTACCCTCCGCTAGGCCTATTCCACCGCCAGTAGCCTACCCTCTCAGCCAAAGCCATTTTAAACACATGGACACACGCAGAATAGGTAGCCTACATTCAATTCCATAGAATACATTAGTTTTTACACCCTGGATTAGTCCTAATTTTAATGTTTTGTAGGTATCTTATCAAAGCAACTCTCAAAGGTTCCTCTCTAGGTTTCTTCCTAGGTTTTGGCCTTTCTAGGGAGTTTTTCCTAGCCACCGTGCTTCTACACCTGCATTACTAGCTGTTTGGGGTTTTAGGCTGGGTTTCTGTACAGCACTTCGAGATATTAGCTGATGTACGAAGGGCTATATAAAATAAATAAAAAAAATAAAAAAAATTGATTGAACTATCCCAGAGTGGTGGACTATCATGTGAGCTAAATGGATGCTTTGGCTTGATAAGCTGATTTATGAATTGCTGTGAGAGTTGGGGTGAACCATAGGCTATATGGGGTGAACTGTCTTTGGTCTGCTGTTTGTTACTAATAGGTTGATGAGCATTGTGAGGGTATGTTGCTCAGATACCTCCCCATAGAGAAATGTAAACTGGTCTCAAGGCCCACAGGTGACAGGGACTGCATTATTCTCAACCACTGTGTTTGTTATTGCACAGTTTATATACAGTGAGGGGAATAGTCTAATTTTAATGGTAGGTTTATTTGAACAGTGAGAGACAGAATAACAACAAAAAAATCCAGAAAAACGCATGTCAAATATGTTATAAATTGATTTGCATTTTAATGAGGGAAATACGTATTTCTGGCTCCCAGGTGTCTTATACAGGTAACGAGCTGAGATTAGGAGCACACTCTTAAAGGGAGTGCTCCTAATCTCAGTTTGTTACTTGTATAAAAGACACCTGTCCACAGAAGAAATCAATCAATCAGATTCCAAACTCTCCACCATGGCCAAGACCAAAGAGCTCTCCAAGGATGTCAGGGACATGATTCTAGACCTACACAAGGCTGGAATGGGCTACAAGACCATCGCCAAGCAGCCTGGTGAGAAGGTGACAACAGTTGGTGCGATTATTCGCAAATGGAAGAAACACAAAAGAACTGTCAATCTCCCTCGGCCTGGGGCTCCATGCAAGATCTCACCTCGTGGAGTTGCAATGATCATGAGAACGGTGAGGAATCAGCCCAGAACTACATGGGAGGCTCTTGTCAATGATCTCAAGGCAGCTGGGACCATAGTTTAATTTTTTTTAACAGTGAGAAACAGAATAACAACAACAAAATCCAGAAAAACGCATGTCAAAAATGTTATAAATTGATTTGCATTTTAATGAGGGAAATAAGTATTTGACCCCTCTGCAAAAACATGACATAGTACTTGGTGGCAAAACCCTTGTTGGCAATCACAGAGGTCAGACGTTTCTTGTAGTTGGCCACCAGGTTTGCACACATCTCAGGAGGGATTTTGTCCCACTCCTCTTTGCAGATCTTCTCCAAGTCATTAAGGTTTCGAGGCTGACGTTTGGCAACTCGAACCTTCAGCTCCCTCCACAGATTTTCTATGGGATTAAGGTCTGGAGACTGGCTAGGCCACTCCAGGACCCTAATGTGCTTCTTCTTGAGCCACTCCTTTGTTGCCTTGGCCGTGTGTTTTGGGTCATTGTCATGCTGGAATACCCATCCGCGACCCATTTTCAATGCCCTGGCTGAGGGAAGGAGGTTCTCACCCAAGATTTGACGGTACATGGCCCTGTCCATCGTCCCTTTGGTGCGGTGAAGTTGTCCTGTCCCCTTAGCAGAAAAACACCCCCAAAGTATAATGTTTCCACCTCCATGTTTGGACGGTGGGGATGGTGTTGGGGTCATAGGCAGCATTCCTCCTCCTCCAAACACGGCGAGTTGAGTTGATGCCAAAGAGCTCGATTTCGGTCTCATCTTACCACAACACTTTCACCCAGTTCTCCTCTGAATCATTCAGATGTTCGTTGGCAAACTTCAGACGGGCATGTATATGTGCTTTCTTGAGCAGGGGGACCTTGCAGGCGCTGCAGGATTTCAGTCCTTCACGGCGTAGTGTGTTACCAATTGTATTCTAGGTGACTATGGTCCCAGCTGCCTTGAGATCATTGACAAGATCCTCCCGTGTAGTTCTGGGCTGATTCCTCACCGTTCTCATGATCATTGCAACTCCACGAGGTGAGATCTTGCATGGAGCCCCAGGCCGAGGGAGATTGACAGTTCTTTTGTGTTTCTTCCATTTGCAAATAATCGCACCAACTGTTGTCACCTTCTCACCAGGCTGCTTGGCGATGGTCTTGTAGCCCATTCCAGCCTTGTGTAGGTCTACAATCTTGTCCCTGACATCCTTGGAGAGCTCTTTGGTCTTGGCCATGGTGGAGAGTTTGGAATCTGATTGATTGATTGCTTCTGTGGACAGGTGTCTTTTATACAGGTAACAAACTGAGATTAGGAGCACTCCCTTTAAGAGTGTGCTCCTAATCTCAGCTCGTTACTTGTATAAAAGACACCTTGGAGACAAAAATCTTTCTGATTGAGAAGGGGTGAAATACTTATTTCCCTCATTAAAATCCAAATCAATTTATAACATTTTTGACATGCGTTTTTCTGGATTTTGTTGTTTTTATTCTGTCTCTCACTGTTCAAATAAACCTACGATTAAAATTATAGACTGATCATTTCTTTGTCAGTGGGCAAACGTACAAAATCAGCAGGGGATCAAATACTTTTTTCCCTCACTGTAGGCCTATTGCATGCTCAAGGGCTCTGGATCAATTGTATACCTTACCACACAAATACAGTTTAGATCAGGGATCATCAATTAGATTCAGCCGTGGGACGATATATTTTCTTGAGCAGATGGTCAGGTGGCTGGAACATAATCAAAAATCATTTGTAGACAAATAATTGACCGCAATAAGGCCAAAAATATATATTTGACTAAAACATAATCATTTCAAACCTTGCTTACATTTGTATACTAACACATATACAGTATTTCTCTATTATGCGTGGGAATACTTTGGAACAGATTTCCAAAATTAAAATAACTTGGAACTGATTTCCTGGTGTTTTTACAGTCTATTATGTCCAACAATTTACAAAAATAATGTGCATTTATTTTGTTTTTTTTGCTCAGAAAACTATATCACCCGTGGCCCAAATTGGGGGGTTTAGATTTCCCCATGCTTGCAACATTTAAATGTTTATTTGATAAAGTTTGCTCCTCAGGCTCAGTCACTTTTATTGCCTCTCCTTGGGTGCAATCCCAAGTATTTAACAATGAGATCCACTGCCTTAACCAATGGTGTCTTCTGTGTGCGTGTGTGCCGGGCAACTAGCCTAACCAAGTAAACCTTCCAAGTTCCAACCAACCCACTAATCGACCAACCAAAGCGTAAAGGAGCATTGACGTAAAAATTGGAGGCTACACTGGACCAGTAGGACTATCCAACAAAACGGCTACTACTGTGCCTTATCTAATGGGCAGCTCTGATAATCAGCTGCTAGTGCCTGCAGACACAGAGTTCAATTATTTATCTTTAGTGTAATTTTTAACAAAGTTGTGCACATGTGTCTAATACCAGACCCTCTTTGATAAGAAGAATGCTGCCAAAAAGAGGGAGGAGGAGGCAGCGGCTGCCGCGGCGGCTGCGAACGGCAGGGGCGATGGGGGCAAGGCGGAGGGAGGAGGTGGAGGAGCCAAGAAGAAGGGAGGAGATAAGATGTCAGTGGAGAGGGTGTACCAGAAGAAGACCCAGCTGGAGCACATTCTACTGAGGCCAGACACCTACATCGGCTCTGTGGAACCTGTCACCCAGGTGGGTTAGGTTCATCATGACTGTAGACGTCTAGCTTGTGTTCAGGAGGGTGCAACAGAAAACAAAATATTTATTTTATTTGTGGGTAACATCTCCCATTTTCACTCCTGTTTTGTGCCTACAGAAGACTCATTTTCTACACAACATTAGTCACAACAACATCCAGTTCTGTAGCTAGATCTAACCGAGAAATCTGTTGTTGCTCTTTGTTGTTGATGTGAAGTATTATGAATGGTTGATCAATAAAATAAAATAAATTATCCCCTTTCAGCAAATGTGGGTTTTCGATGAAGATCTTGGGATGAATCTCAGAGAAATCACTTATGTCCCTGGATTATACAAAATCTTTGATGAAATTCTTGGTAAGTGTATTTATCAGGATCTTTTAAAGCAGAACATACACAGGTGAGAAGGTGGTCATTATGAACTAGCCATAGCCCTCAGTGCATTGTTATTAGGCTAGATGTTATTACTGTGATGGCCTCTGATGGACATTCCCTCAAGGTAGCCTAACGGTGAATTAAAAAGCCGCTGGATCGAAACCCCGAGCCGACTAGGTGAAAAATCTGTCTGTGCCTTTGAGCAAGGCACTTAACCCTAATTGCTCCTGTAAGTCAGTTGACCGATCTACATTTGACATTTGAGTCATTTAGCACAGTGGTTCCCAAACGGTTATTATTTTTTAAAAAAATTTAAGGAACTCAGTCCGGCTTTAAGCGTACTCTTTAAAGTTGTGATAATAGAATGCACAAGGTGCAATTTCGAAATTGGGTAGTGCATCGTCAGTTCTTCTTGTCATGTTAGTCATTGCATACCTTAGAGAGCTATTTCTAACTTGTCAGAAACGTTTTTTTATTTAGTTTTTTTTTAGCCCATAGATATTGTTGTATTTTTTAGTCACTCAAATATCACATTGAATACACCGCATTTTCTTTGCACCCCATGACAAAATGTGTAGAATTGCAGGAAATAAGCTTTAAACCTGCAAAATTCTCTCCACTGACAAGAGGGGTGTGAACAGTTTGTGTCATGAACAGTGCTTGTGCCCATAGAAATAGATGTGGCACAGGATGTTCCCCAATGCTGGAAGGGGGGCCCCAAGGGAAAAAGTTTGGAAACCCCTGATTTAGCAGACACTCCAGACAGACAGACTTGCAGTACATTCAGTAATTCTATTGTTGTAGGTAGGATGATATCATTTTTGTACACCTGTCCAGTGATTGGAGATGAAAACACGCTTTTTAGCTAGGCCTATTATCTGGTCCATCAATACATCTGAAACATCTATTAGATGAAACCTATTTTGTAGAGGAGCTAGCTTGTCCTTGTGTGTTCTGTGGACTGCCTGTCCCCCCTCCTCCTTGCTCCTACTCCTCATGTAGCCATTTGTCTGGAATGAAGAGCCGTCTGAGGAAATATTTTATTGGTTGTCAGTCACACAGATTAAGGCAAGCGGCAGCAGCATCCATTGTTGGTCTATGTTATGTGTTTGGCTGACTGGAACATTAATATGGGGTACAACCAATTATTGTACCACAAAATGTTAGGCTTCTGCATTGATGAAAAAATGAAAAAGATGAATACCCTTTCCTGTAAGAGTATGTTTATACCAGGCACTACCTTGAGCGATCAAACTGCTGGAAGTCAGTCGTATGCAATGGAAGGAGACATTTTACATTTTAGTCATTTAACAGACACTCTTATCCAGAGCGACTTACAGTTAGTGAGTGCATAAATGTTTCATACTGGCCCCCCGTGGGAAACGAACCCACAACCCTGGCGTTGCAAGCGCCATGCTCTACCAACTGAGCTACACGGGAGACATGAGAAGACATTTGAGTTCTTTGCTCCACACAGTGTTCATTTAGCTGTTTTATAGTGGTGATAAGGTAATGATCGCAGTCTGTCCTTGCTGCCCAAATATTCACTAGTTCCTACCACGTCTATGTAATTACTGACTAGACATAACTCACACAGGGTCAGTCACACATAATGTCACATTACAACTCAAGCAAAAGCTTGAAATGAAACAGGCCAACCAAACTGTTTAACCGACAGTATGTTTCCAGTATGAGAGACTGCTGTGTTGAAGGGATGTGGTTCTCAAGTGTGTCTAAAGCTCTTGATGTGTTCTCCCGAGTGGCGCAGTGGTCTGTGCCACTAGAGATCCTGGTTCGAATCCAGGCTCTGTCATAGCCGGCCGCGACCGGGAGACCCATGGGGCGCGCATAATTGGCCCTGCGTCGTCCAGGGTAGGGGAGGGAATGGCCAGCAGGGATGTAGCTCAGTTGGTAGAGCATGGCGTTTGCAACGCCAGGGTTGTGGGTTCAATTCTCACGGGGGGCCAGTATGAAACATTTATGCACTCACTAACTGTAAGTCGCTCTGGATAAGAGCGTCTGCTAAATGACTAAAATGAAAATGTAATGAAAATGCAAGTACCAAGTACAGTATCTTCTCAATAGTCTAACATAATTAAATCCCTGCAGTCTACTACTTCTCATTTCAACTTGTTTTTCTCTACTCCACAGTCAACGCAGCCGACAACAAACAGCGGGATAAGAGCATGTCGACCATAAAGATCTCCATTGATCCGTAAGTACACAGTAAGCAGTTATCAATCCTTAGTCCAGTTTGAGCCCCAAAACTCTACTGTGCACTCTGCATAGGTAGGCACAGCAGCTTCCCTCTGTTGCACTTAGTTGTCATGCATCCGTCATTTTATAATACATTCTGTTTAACAGTCCTGTTTTGTGACAACAAACCCCTCTGCTCGCCCTTAGGTCATGCGTAGGAGTGTTAGAAAAGTCAAATCATTTGAGCCTAGCAGCGCCACCCCCCAAAAATTGTGCAGTGCATGCTGCCAAGGTAGGAGCAGCGGCTTGCCTTCATTGGAAAACAATTGCTCGCCCAGCCAAATGCCATTTTTGCTGTTAGAATGTGAAAGCCCTTTAATAAAATAATTAGTCAGGGTTTTTCAAGCATCACTTTAGGAGGTAGTTTAGTGTATATGAGTGGCTGTTTTAATATATACAGTTGAAGTCGGATGTTTACATACACTTAGGTTGGAGTCATTAAAACTCGTTTTTTCAACCACTCCACAAATGTCTTGTTAACAAACTATAGTTTTGGCAAGTCGGTTAGGACATCTACTTTGTGCATGACACAAGTAATTTTTCCAACAATTGTTTACAGACCGATTATTTCACTTATAATTCACTGTATCACAATTCCAGTGGGTCAGAAGTTTACATACACTAAGTTGACTGTGCCTTTAAACAGCTTGGAAAATTCCAGAAAATGATGTCATGGCTTTAGAAGCTTCTGATAGGCTAATTTACATCATTTGAGTCAATTGGAGGTGTACCTGTGGATGTATTTCAAGGCCAACCTTCAAACTCAGTGCCTCTGATTGACATAATGGGAAAATCAAAAGAAATCAGCCAAGACCTCAGAAAAAAAATTGTAGAGCTCCACAAGTCTGGTTCATCCTTGGGAGCAATTTCCAAATGCCTGAAGGTACCACATTCATCTGTACAAACAATAGTGCGCAAGTATAAACACCATGGGACCACGCAGCCATCATACCGCTCAGGAAGGAGACGCGTTCTGTCTCCTAGAGATGAACGTACTTTGATGCGAAAAGTGCAAATCAATCCCAGAACAACAGAAAAAGGACCTTGTGAAGACGCTGGAGGAAACAGGTACAAAAGTATCTATATCCACAATAAAATAAAACGACATAACCTGAAAGGCCGCTCAGCAAGGAAGAAGCCACTGCTCCAAAACCGCCATAAAAAAGCCAGACTACGGTTTGCAACTGCACTTGGGGACAAAGATTGTACTTTTTGGAGAAATGTCCTCTGGTCTGATGAAATAAAATGTTTGGCCATAATGACCATCATTATGTTTGGAGGAAAAAGGGGGGGCTTGCAAGCCGAAGAACACCATCCCAACGTGAAGCACGGGGGTGGCAGCATCATACTGTGGGGGTGCTTTGCTGCAGGAGGGACTGGTGCACTTCATAAAATAGATGGCATCATGAGGAAGGAAAATTATGTGGATATATTCAAGCAACATCTCAAGACATCAGTCAGGAAGTTATAGCTTGGTCGCAAATGGGTCTTCCAAATGGACAATGAACCCAAGCATACGTCCACAGTTGTGGCAAAATGGCTTAAGGACAACAAAGTCAAGGTATTGGAGTGGCCATCACAAAGCCCTGACCTCAATCCTATAGAACATTTGTGGGTAGAACTGAAAAGGCGTGTGCGAGCAAGGAGGCCTACATACCTGACTCAGTTACACCAGCTCTGTCAGGAGGAATGTACCAAAATCACTCAGTTTATTGTGGGAAGCTTGTGGAAGGCTACCCGAAACGTTTGACCCAAGTTAAACAATTTAAAGGCAACGCTACCAAATACTAATTGAGTGTATGTAAACTTCTGACCCACTGGGAATGTGATGAATGTGATGAAAGAAATGAAAGCTGAAATAAGTCATTCTCTCTACTATTATTCTGACATTTCACATTCTTAAAATAAAGTGGTGATCCTAACTGACCTAAGACAGGGAATTTTTACTAGGATTAAATGTCAGGAATTGTGAAAAACTGAGTTTAAATGTATGACTTCAACTGTAAATGTAATATAGTGCTTTCGCACTTTAATGCAGTCAGATTGTCACACCCCCTGTGTCTCTCTAGACTTGCAATTCAGTGATTGCTAAAAAAAAATATGCGGAGTTAGTTACCATGGAAATGGTTCTGGTTGACCAATAAAATAAGCCTGCAACCCAATAGTTCATTCAGCTCACTAAGTAGCCTTATAAATATACAGTGCCTTCAGAAAGCATTCATACCCCTTAACTTATTCAACATTTTGTTGTGTTATAGCCTGAATTCAAAATTGATTAAAAAATAATAATAATTCACCCATCTACGCACAATACCCCATAATGACAAAGTGAAAACATGTTTATACTTTTTATTCTCGCAAATGTATTGAAAATGGAATACAGAAATATCTCATTTACATAAGTATACACATCACACCCCTGAGTAAATACATGTTAGAATCACATTTTGGCAGCAATTACAGCTGTGAGTCTTTCTGGGTAAGTCTATAAGAGCTTTCCACACCTGGATTGTACAATATTTGAGTATAAAAATAAATAAATACAGTGGGGGAAAAAAGTTTGGAGTTTGGACAGAACACCACATACAGTGTGGGAAAAAAGTATTTAGTCAGCCACCAATTGTGCAAGTTCTCCCACTTAAAAAGATGTGAGAGGCCTGTAATTTTCATCATAGGTACACGTCAACTATGACAGACAAAATGAGATTTTTTTCTCCATAAAATCACATTGTAGGATTTTTAATGAATTTATTTGCAAATTATGGTGGAAAATAAGTATTTGGTCAATAACAAAAGTTTCTCAATACTTTGTTATATACCCTTTGTTGGCAATGACACAGGTCAAACGTTTTCTGTAAGTCTTCACAAGGTTTTCACACACTGTTGCTGGTATTTTGGCCCATTCCTCCATGCAGATCTCCTCTAGAGCAGTGATGTTTTGGGGCTGTCGCTGAGCAACACAGACTTTCAACTCCCTCCAAAGATTTTCTATGGGGTTGAGATCTGGAGACTGGCTAGGCCACTCCAGGACCTTGAAATGCTTCTTACGAAGGCACTCCTTCGTTGCCCGGGCGGTGTGTTTGGGATCATTGTCATGCTGAAAGACCCAGCCACGTTTCATCTTCAATGCCCTTGCTGATGGAAGGAGGTTTTCACTCAAAATCTCACGATACATGGCCCCATTCATTCTTTCCTTTACACGGATCAGTCGTCCTGGTCCCTTTGCAGAAAACAGCCCCAAAGCATGATGTTTCCACCCCCATGCTTCACAGTAGGTATGGTGTTCTTTGGATGCAACTCAGCATTCTTTGTCCTCCAAACACGACGAGTTGAGTTTTTACCAAAAAGTTCTATTTTGGTTTCATCTGACCATATGACATTCTCCCAATCCTCTTCTGGATCATCCAAATGCACTCTAGCAAACTTCAGACGGGCCTGGACATGTACTGGCTTAAGCAGGGGGACACGTCTGGCACTGCAGGATTTGAGTCCCTGGCGGCGTAGTGTGTTACTGATGGTAGGCTTTATTGCTTTGGTCCCAGCTCTCTGCAGGTCATTCACTAGGTCCCCCCGTGTGGTTCTGGGATTTTTGCTCACCGTTCTTGTGATCATTTTGACCCCACGGGATGAGATCTTGCGTGGAGCCCCAGATCGAGGGAGATTATCAGTGGTCTTGTATGTCTTCCATTTCCTAATAATTGCTCCCACAGTTGATTTCTTCAAACCAAGCTGCTTACCTATTGCAGATTCAGTCTTCCCAGCCTGGTGCAGGTCTACAATTTTGTTTCTGGTGTCCTTTGACAGCTCTTTGGTATTGGCCATAGTGGAGTTTGGAGTGTGACTGTTTGAGGTTGTGGACAGGTGTCTTTTATACTGATAACAAGTTCAAACAGGTGCCATTCATACAGGTAACGAGTGGAGGACAGAGGAGCCTCTTAAAGAAGAAGTTACAGGTCTGTGAGAGCCAGAAATCCTGCTTGTTTGTAGGTGACCAAATACTTATTTTCCACCATAATTTGCAAATAAATTCATTAAAAATCCTACAATGTGATTTTCTGTCTCTTCTTTTCTCAATTTGTCTGTCATAGTTGACGTGTACCTATGATGAAAATTACAGGCCTCTCTCATCTTTTTAAGTGGGAGAACTTGCACATTTGGTGGCTGACTAAATACTTTTTTTCCCCACTGTATGTATGCACTCACTAAAACTGTAAGTCGCTCTGGATAAGAGCGTCTGCTAAATGACTAAAATGTATTATTCTTTTCAAAATTCTTCAAGCTCTGTCAAATTGGTTGTTGATCATCTAGACAACCATTTTCAAGTCTTACCATAGATTTAAGTCAAAACTGTAACTCTGCCACTCAGGAACATTCGTTGTCTTCTTGGTAAGCAACTCCAGTGTTTTAGGTTATTGTCCTGCTGAAAGGTGAATTCATCTCCCAGTGTCTGGGGGAAAGCCACCACTATGCTTGTGTTGTATTGGATTTTCTCCAAACTGAACACTTTGTATTCAGGACAAAAAGTGAATTGCTTTGCCTCATTTTTTGCAGTATTACTTTAGTGCTGTGTTGCAAAATGGATGCATGTTATAGAATATTTTTATTCTGTACACTCTGTCAATTAGGAGGTTAGTATTGTGAAGTAACTACAATGTGGTTGATCCATCCTCAGTTTTCTCCTGTCACAGCCATTAAACTCTGTTTTAAAGTCACCATTAGCCTAATAGTGAAATCCACTCTGGCAACTAAGTTAGGAAGGACAGCAGTATCTTTGTACTGACTGGGTGTATTGATAAACCATCCACAGTGTAATTAATAACTTCACGATGTTCAAAGGGATATTCAATGTCTGCTTTTTTTTCTACCAATAGGTGCCCTTCTTTGCGAGGCATTGGAAAACCTCCCTGATGTTTGTGGTTGAATCTGTGTTTGAAATTCACTGCTTGACTGAGGGACCTTACAGATAATTGTATGTGTGGGGTACAGAGATGAGGTAGTCATTCGAAAATCATGTTAAACACTATTATTGCAAACAGAGTCCTTGCAACTTATTATGTGATTTGTTAAGCACATTTTTACTCCGGAACTTATTTAGGCTTGCCAAAACAAAGGGGTTGAATACTTGAAGACATTTCAGCTTTTCATAAATAAAAACATATCACTTTGACATTATGGGCTATTGTGTGTAGGCCAGTGACTAAAATCTCAATTTAATCCATTTTAAATTCAGGCTGTAACACAACAAAATGTGGGAAAAGTGAACGGGTGTGAATACTTTCTGAAGGCACTGTATCAAGGCATGCAGATACTTCTGTGGGTATTCGAAAAATGCGGAGCATGTCTGCCCACTGTGATGTGTGTGTGTGTGTGTGTGTGTGTGTGTGTGTGTGTGTGTGCGTGCGAGCGAGACTTCCTAACCTCCTGCCAAATGTATGACCATATTAGAGACATGCTCTAATATGAGAGAATTCCAAAACAAACCCAATTTTCATAAACTCCCATATCTACTGTGTGAAATATCACAGCAGCAACATTTGTGACCTGTTGCCACAAGAAAAGGGCAACCAGTGAAGAACAAACACCATTGTAAATACAACCCATATTTATGTTTATTTATTTTCCCATTTGTACTTTAACTCTTTGCACATTTTTACAACACTGTATATATACATAATAACATTTGAAATGTATTTATTCTTTTGGAACTTCTGAGTGTAATGTTTACTGTTAATTTGTATTGTTTATTTCACTTTTGTTTACTATCTACTTCACTTGCTTTGGCAATGTTAACATACGTTTCCCATGCCAATATGCCATTGAATTGAATTGAGAGAGTGAGTGTAAGTAAGTATTCGGAAAGTATTCACACCCCTTGACTTTTTCAACATTTTGTTACATTACAGCCTTATTCTAAAATGGATTAAATTATTTTTATCCTCATCAATCTACACATAATACCCCATAACTATTCAGACCCTTTGCTATGAGACTCGAAATTGAGCTCCGGTGCATCCTGTTTCCATTGATCATCCTTGAGATGTTTCTACAACTTGATTGGGGTCCACCTGTGGTAAATTGAATTGATTGGACATGATTTGGACAGGCACACACCTGTCAATACAAGGTCCCACAGTTGACAGTGCATTTCAGAGCAAAAACCAAACCAGGTCGAAGGAATTGTCCGTAGAGCACCGAGACAGGATTGTGTCGAGACACAGATCTGGGGGAGGGTACCAACAAATTTTGCAGCATTGAAGGTCCCCAAGAACACAGTGGCCTCCATCATTCCTAAATGGAAGAAGTTTGGAACCACCAAGACTCTTCCTAGAGCTGGCTGCCCGGCCAAAGAATCGGGGGAGAAGGCCTTGGCCAGGGAGGTGACCAAGAACCTGATGGTCACTCTGACAGAGCTCCAGAGTTCATCTGTGGAGATGGGAGAACCTTCCAGAAGGACAACCATCTCTGCAGCACACCACCAATCAGGCCTTTATGGTAGAGTGGCCAGACGGAATCCACTCCTCAGTAAAAGGCACATGACAGCCCGCTTGGAGTTTGCCAATAGGTATCTAAAGACTCTCAGACCATGAGAAACAAGATTATCTGGTCTGATGAAACCAAGATTGAACTCTTTGGCCTGAATGCCAAGCGTCACGTCTGGAGGAAACCTGGCACCATCCCTACGGTGAAGCATGGTGGTGGCAGCATGTGGGGATGTTTTTCAGCGGCAGGGACAGGGAGACCAGTCAGGATCGAGGCAAAGATGAACGGAGCGTACAGAGAGATCCTTGATGAAAACCTGCTCCAGAGCGTTCAGGACCTTGCAACAGGACAACAACCCTACAACCCTAAGCACACAGCCAAGACAACGCAGGAGTGGCTTCGGGACAAGTCTCTGAATGTCCTTGAGTGGCCCAGCTGTAGCCCATAGACCTGAAAATAGCTGTGCAGTGACACTCTCCATCGAACCTGACAGAGCTTGAGAAGATCTGCAGAGAAGAATGGGGGAAACTCCCCAAATACAGGTGTGCCAAGCTTGTAGTATTATACCCAAGAAGACTTGAGGCTGTAATCGCTGCCAAAGGTGCTTCAACAAAGTACTGAGTAAAGGGTCTGAATACTTATGTAAATGTGATATTTTCGGGTATTTTGTTATTTGCTAACATTTCTAAAAACCTGTTATGGCTTTGTCAATATGGAGTATTGTGTGTAGATTGATGAAGGGATTTTTTTTTTTTAAATCCATTTTAGAATAAGGCTGTAACGTAACAAAATGTGGAAAAAGTCAAGATGTCTGAATACTTTCCGAATGCACTGTATCTCTGGGTGGAGAGAGGGAGGTACTGTAGAGGCTGATAGATCTCTGGGTAGGTCTTAATGAACAGTCGGCTCTGGAATTCAGGGAGCTCATTTAACATGCTGTTCACCTACGGCACGACATCCACAGCAATCTACACACACACACACACACACACACACACAGCAGACTGCTTAATGTCAGAGTGTCCTTCAGAGGGGCTCCCTGTCTCCTCCCTGTGAGGCCTGTCTGTATGTCTCTCTCTCTACCACCCTGTCCTGTCATCTCTCTCCTCTCTTATGTATCTCTCTTTCTCCTTCTCTTTCCCCCGCTCTCTTTCTCCTTTCTTCTCCTCTGTTGCTCTCAAGGGCTGGAATTTATAATGGTGTTTTATGAATGTTCGAGCCCCTTTCCAGAGCTTAAATCGTCACACGTTGGGCTTATTTCGTTTGGCTGTGTTGCTCCACAGTTTCAAATCACAGCCCTAAATCCACTGGGGAGAAGAGTCCTCTGGCAAATGGGGATTGGTTGCAGTATTGTAAAATGTTGAGATGTTTACTTGTCAGAAAGGTCTGGCTAGATTTATGAACTAAATAGGAATATTACGTCTTAAAATATTTTATTCATGATCTTAATCTAAAGGTTAGTACATCTAAATGGAAATACATAATGGTTATTGAAGTTGGGTCATGATGATTATGTCAGTCCTGTGAAGTTCTTCCACCTCCATTGTTTATCCCTCCTTGTTTGTTTCTTCGTTCATCATCCCCCTCTCCTCTCTTCCCTCAGTGAGTCCAACACCATCACCATCTGGAACAATGGTAAAGGCATCCCTGTGGTGGAACACAAAGATGAGAAGATGTACGTTCCCGCTCTCATCTTCGGACACCTCCTCACCTCCAGTAACTACGACGACGAGCAGAAGAAAGTCACAGGTGTGAAAAATCACTCTGAAAACGAGAATCTAATTAATGTATTAATTATTCTTTGTCCATTTGTGTAATAACATTTCATATGGTTTCGATAAAGCTTTCTACAGAACGTCTAACCTAAAATATTTTCATACTATCTGCTTTTATGATCTCAGCTGAATAGTTTTGTAGTGCCCCTTGCAGTGCTTAGTAACAATACACCGGAATTAGTGAATGACTATAGGTCAATCTCTCCACGAATGAAAGCATGTCTCCCTTCTGTTTTCCTCATAGGTGGAAGGAACGGGTACGGTGCTAAACTCTGCAACATCTTCAGCACAAAGTTCACAGTGGAAACCGCCTGCAAGGAGTACAAACACAGCTTCAAACAGGTACAGACAATGAGAAAGCACAGTGTGATTGAGGTCTGTTGTTTAGTCAACCTTGAAAATAACATTAATCAAACAGCTGAACACCAGTTGATGTTTTGTAGGGGTACAGTATGTGACATATAAGGGGGTGAGTATGAGTTGATTCTCACTGTCGGGTGTGGTCTCACAGGATTCTTCGTTGATATTGTAGGATTCTACATAGTTTTGGGGGATTTCGGTAATTTCTCATAAACCAGATGGTTGTCTTTGTTTGTGTGGTTTGTCCTACAATTGTCACTTTCAGTGAAATGACTCACCTAAATAGTGATAGTTTGTTCAATCAGTTTCATAAGGCTTTTTATTAACTCGTATCTCTTTGATGGAATTTCACAATACAACCTCATGATTCACTCTAGTTTCCTTAACATGTGAAGAATGTAGTACATTTCATGACAGTCTCTCCCCCTTTTTTCTTTCTCTCTCCCTCCCTCTCCCCAGACTTGGCAGAACAACATGGGGAAGACGAGCGACCCCAAGATCAAGTTCTTTGACGGGGACGACTTCACGTGCGTGACCTTCCAGCCGGACCTGTCCAAGTTCAAGATGGAGAAGCTGGACAAGGACATCGTGGCTTTGCTCACCAAGAGGGCCTACGACATCGCTGGCTCTTGCAAGGGCGTCAAAGTCATGCTCAACGGGAAGAAACTCCCTGTAAGTCCCCCCCCCCCCCCATTTATCCGCACATAGTAGGATGGGCTGTCCCATATACACAGACTACGTGCTTGGAAGACCCTGGGCAAAACATTTTGACTTGAAATAAAACGGCTCATTTCATTACACCTGTTTCAATACAATGTCATTTGCTAATAACCTTTCCAGAACCGGAGGCACTATCTAAACCCGGTTTAGGCTCTTCTCACCTGTCCTTTCCCTCTCCTCCCAGGTGACAGGGTTCCGCAGCTATGTGGACCTGTACGTGAAGGACAAGCTGGACGAGGTGGGCGTGGCCCTGAAGGTGGTCAACGAGTCGGTCAACGAGCGCTGGGAGGTGTGTCTCACCATGAGTGAGAAGGGATTCCAACAGATCAGCTTCGTCAACAGTATCGCCACCACCAAGGTAACATCCCCCCAGGGAATGTTCTATTACCAGAACTATACCCTTCCATTTGGAAAACTGTGACTTGACCAATCTAGGAATAATGGACAGAAATGAAGTGTGATTTGCATGTGGAAATATACTGGGATGCGTGTGCATTTTGATGGTATTCACATTTTGGAGTATGACTTGAATCCCTTTCAACCACATCAGACATGTTTTATGTACTACACTGCTTGTTTTGTGCCATTCAGGGTGGCAGACACATTGATTACGTGGTGGACCAGATCGTAGCCAAGCTGATAGAAGTGGTGAAGAAGAAGAACAAAGCTGGTGTCTCAGTCAAACCCTTCCAGGTTAGTTATTACTATCGTATTACTGTGTTATTACTATGTTACTACAATAGTGTTACTAGTAATTACATTGTTACTGGTATAAGAGCAACATAGTGTAACGTTCGGCTACAATCTTAATGCTTTACTTTTGTCTGACTCAGGTGAAGAACCACATCTGGGTGTTTGTGAATGCGTTGATCGAGAACCCGACCTTTGACTCCCAGACCAAGGAGAACATGACCCTCCAGACCAAGAGCTTTGGTTCTAAGTGCCCTCTGTCTGAGAAGTTCATCAGAGCGGTAAGGAGATTCTTCTTCATAAATTACTTTTCTTTAACACAATGAAATATCACTACCTCCTACATGTATACATCCTATGTTGGGCATTTACTCTCCACATACACTGTTTCCTCACAGAGAAAGTCAAGTTATTTAGATTGAATTGATATCATATGATCTCTAAAATCAGTTCCAGGTCCTTTCTTGTGTTTTCGGTTCACCTGGAATATTAAACAATGATCTATCATTCAATTCTTTATTTTGTCTGCAGGCGACCAACTGTGGCATCGTGGAGAGTATCCTGAACTGGGTGAAGTTCAAGGCCCAGACACAACTCAACAAGAAGTGTTCTTCAGTGAAGCACAGCAAGATTAAAGGCATCCCCAAGCTGGACGACGCCAACGATGCCGGTAAGACAACCACAACTACTCTGCTCTGTGTGCATAAGCCCTACGACGTTCCTAATCTACTTATCCACCAAGAGGGCCTCTTTTACCAAATGTTTATATTGAAACTAGTTGAAGACTTTAAAGTAGGATGGGCGAACAGAGCTAGGCGGTTGGGCCCCACCCCATTTTATAAAAGGGGAAACACTAGGTTGTTTAAACACACACTGAACTGCACGTCTTTCTTCCGTCTTCACCCCCAGGTGGTAAACACTCGTCAGAATGCACTCTGATCCTGACTGAGGGTGACTCGGCCAAGTCCCTGGCCGTCTCCGGCCTTGGCGTCATTGGGCGAGATCGCTATGGTGTCTTCCCATTACGAGGAAAGATCCTGAACGTACGAGAGGCCACACACAAACAGGTTAGTGTCTAGAGAGTGGTTAGATAGGGCTGGGAGAGTGTATGAGTGATTACAATCTAAATTATGAATGTATCGAGCATACACCACAATGATAAATAATCTTGTAAACACATAAATACTCAAGGGATTTACATAGATCGTTTCCCAAACGTGGCACAAGGACCATTCTGATCAACATAATTTAAAAGTGAATCCAAACTCTTTTAGGTGGAGTCCACTGAGCCAGGGTGGCCCATCCTGCCTATGTCAGGTAGGGAAACACTGACACATCCATTTTTCTCTTTCCCACCAGATCATGGAGAACGCAGAGATCAACAACATCATCAAGATCGTGGGTCTGCAGTACAAGAAGAGCTACGAGGACCCAGAGTCTCTGAGATCCCTACGCTACGGCAAGATCATGATCATGACCGATCAGGTTCTAACACTTAATCAATCCCACCAACGCCTGACGTCTACAATTGACCGATGTCTTGCAATTTTCATCATAATCAATAATTGTAATAACTATGAGCATAAAGCATCTTTCATACATTATCCATGCTCAAAGCCTTGTTTTGTGGAAGTTAAACTCTCTTAAGGTTCATCTGAAATGGCGCTATTCCCTATGTAGTATGGTGTAGTGCACCAAATGTAGTGCACTACATATGGAATAGGGTACCATTTTGGACGTACCCTTGGGTCATAACAATCCATACTAATAGTGTGTGTCTTTGTGTTGATTATCTGCTGACAGGATCAAGATGGCTCCCATATCAAGGGTTTGCTCATCAACTTCTTCCATCACAACTGGCCATCCCTGCTCAAACACACCTTCCTGGAGGAGTTCATCACGCCTATCGTCAAAGTAAGACTCACACAGATAATGTCAGCTTATGGCAACTGACTTTAAACTGTTATAACACAAACAATGTTTAGATTGGCATGGCTTAAAGCTAGCAAACATGGTTCTAATGCTGCTTTTAACTCTTTCCTGCAGGTGAACAAGAATAAACAGGAGCATGCTTTCTACAGCATTCCAGAGTTTGACGAATGGAAGAAACAGACAGTCAACTTTAAAACCTGGCATATAAAGTACTACAAAGGTTTGTTCATCACATGTGGATAATCCTCCAAACTAACCATTATTGTTAGAAGCTATTCTGTTTCACACTACCGAGGCAATTCGAGCCAAACTGTTCTGTGCTGGCCTGAATATACGCCACCATAGTTGCTGGACCATGCTGAAAATATCTGAGCCAGCTCAGTACAGTTTGGGTTGGCACGATAGTGTGAAAAAGGTTGGAGTGTTTGTTTGTGTTCCAGGTTTGGGTACCAGTACAAGCAAGGAGGCCAAGGAGTACTTTGCAGACATGGAGAAACACCGGATCATGTTCAGATACGCCGGGACAGAGGACGATGCTGCCATCACACTGGTGGGTTTTCCATGGACACCACTCTCTCCTTTTTTCCTGTCATGGTCTTTGAATACTTTCTCATTAAATGGACAGAAAATAGCTAGAAAAGGTAGAAAATCAATTCTAAAATGGCTATACAAATGTATTAATCAAGCTAGTTTTGCTGTCGCACAAAATGTATTACTGCTTTCTTCCGACCTATCAACTCACACAAGATGGTTTTTGACTTTATTTGTCTGTGCTCTGCTTGAGAAATCTTTGCCAAATGGAGAGGGGACTGACAGTGATGTCATTTGACTGACAGTGATCTATCCATTGCTGTCTGTCTCTAGGCATTCAGTAAGAAGAAGACTGACGACAGGAAGGAGTGGCTCACCAACTTCATGGAGGACAGGAGACAGAGGAGGATGCACGGCCTGCCAGAGGTGGGTGGGACTGACTGTGTGACCGACTGGGTTCAAACCCGGATCTCCTGCATGCCAGAAGACTGTTAGCCCGCCTAGCTTAAAGGAAAGATTTACCAATTTGTTTATGTTTTATCGTATTTGTGCATCTCTGAGCGATGTTCTATCGATTCCTGGGGTCATTTCATGTTTTCATGTGTATCTGAGCTATTCACCGTTCAAGCAGGCTGAAATACAGCCAGTATAACAAGTTTTGCATACCTCCTATAGTGTAAATCTTCAGGTCTCTACAATGGTTACTCAGCACACAAGTGTGCTTCACTGAAACACCTAGCTTCCATCTGCACTGTGAGAGACGGTCCAGATCATTCACATCAGTGCAGAGGAAGGAAAGGAGAGTAGGGGAAGCAACAAACTATTGAGATGCGCCCTGTGAGAGACTGTTGGATGTTGGAGTTTGATTAAAGGAAGAGGATGTAGACTGTTTAGATCTTTCTGTTTTCATAGTCATCTCTCCACCATGGGAGTTACTTTATCACCGCTTGTTTAGAGTCTTCTAGCTGGCTCCTTTGATTCACAAGAATCTGATGATTTCAGTGTTCCTCAGATATCCCCAAAAACGGCCTGGTTATGTTGTTGACGTTTAGTAAATTACTCTCTTTACTGTTATCACTGATTTAAAGTAGCGGCTGCTTTCTCCATGTGAATCCCATCAGAGCCAGGTCTAAAACTGATAACATCAGAGCACTGCTTCAGGTCTGTTTATTTCTGTCTCATCCTACAGCAATACCTGTATGGAACACAGTTTTGTAATTGACTCTGTTGCTGTCGGTGGCTGATGCAAAGTAGACACCGCTCTCCTATGTGGTACTGAAAAGACCATAACAACATCATAGCCCTGATTCAAGTCACTTTACGTTTCATCCTCCATCTCTTTTATCATCCCCACTCAGCAATACCTGTACGGCACGCAGGCGAAACACCTCTCCTACAACGACTTCATCAACAAAGAACTCATCCTCTTCTCCAACTCTGACAACGAGAGATCCATCCCATCCTTAGTCGACGGTACGTATGCAGCGATGCACTAGACTAGCTATCTCCCTGAACATTCTCTGTCTTTCTAGCTTTTGTTGTTGTGTTTGTTGTCAAATGGCTTTTGAAGTTTAAGGGAAATGAAAAGCCTGGAAACTTGTCGTTAAACTGTCCTCTGGATGTACTGTTTGTGTGGTCCCCTTTTGATGATGGCGTGTATAATGATTTGTTTAATTCAATCCCCATTAGCTGTTTTGTTGCAACACCTAATCCTCCTGCGGTCCACTTGTGATCCCCTTTTGAAGATGTGTGTGTGTGTGTGTGTGGTGTGGTCCCCTTTTGATGATGTCATGTGTGTCTATGTGTGCAGGTCTGAAGCCAGGTCAGAGGAAGGTACTGTTCACCTGTATGAAGAGGAATGATAAGCGGGAGGTGAAGGTGGCTCAGCTGGCTGGTTCAGTAGCAGAGATGTCTGCCTACCATCACGGAGAGGTGCTACACTCTTACAGAACTCAAGAAAATATACTCACAGAGCTATATGAAATATACTTACAGAACTCAAGAAAATATACTTACAGAGCTATATAAAAATATACTTACAGAACTATAGAAAATATACTCACAGAGCTATATAAAAATATACTTACAGAACTCAAGAAAATATACTCACAGAGCTATATGAAATATACTTACAGAACTCAAGAAAATATACTTACAGAGCTATATAAAAATATACTTACAGAACTATAGAAAATATACTCACAGAGCTATATAAAAATATACTTACAGAACTCAAGAAAATATACTCACAGAGCTATATAAAAATATACTTACAGAGCTATAGAAAATATACTTACAGAGCTATATGAAATATACTTACAGAACTCAAGAAAATATACTCACAGAGCTATATGAATATACTTACAGAACTATAGAAAATATACTCACAGAGCTATATGAAATATGCTTACAGAGCTATATGAAATATACTTACAGAACTATAGAAAATATACTCACAGAGCTATATGAAATATACTTACAGAACTATAGAAAATATACTCACAGAGCTATATGAAATATACTTACAGAACTCAAGAAAATATACTCACAGAGCTATATGAAATATACTTACAGAACTCAAGAAAATATACTCACAGAGCTATATGAAATATACTTACAGAACTATAGAAAATATACTCACAGAGCTATATGAAATATACTTACAGAACTATAGAAATATACTCACAGAGCTATATGAAATATACTTACAGAACTATAGAAAATATACTCACAGAGCTATATGAAATATACTACAGAACTCAAGAAAATATACTTACAGAGCTATATGAATATACTTACAGAACTATAGAAAATATACTCACAGAGCTATATGAAATATACTTACAGAACTCAAGAAAATATACTTACAGAGCTATATGAAATATACTTACAGAACTATAGAAAATATACTCACAGAGCTATATGAAATATACTTACAGAACTATAGAAAATATACTCACAGAGCTATATGAAATATACTTACAGAACTATAGAAAATATACTCACAGAGCTATATGAAATATGCTTACAGAGCTATATGAAATATACTTACAGAACTATAGAAAATATACTTACACAGCTATATGAAATATACTTACAGAGCTATATAAAAATATACTTACAGAACTATAGAAAATATACTCACAGAGCTATATGAAATATGCTTACAGAACTATAGAAGTTGAATGTTCTTAATATGAAATATATTTACAGAACTATAGAAATATACTCACAGAGCTATATGAATATACTTACAGCGCTATATGAATATACAGTTGAAGTCAGAAGTTTACATACACTTAGGTTTGAGTCATTAAAACTCGTTTTTCTCCCACTCTCCACAAATTTCTTGGTAACAAATAAGGTTTTGGCACGTCGTTAGGACATCTACTTTGCATGACACAAGTAATTTTTCCAACACTTGTTTACAGACAGATTATTTCACTTATAATTCACTGTATCACAATTCCAGTGAGTCAGAAGTTTACATACACTAAGTTGACTGTGCCTTTAAACAGCTTGGAAAATTCCAGAAAATGATGTCATGGCTTTAGAAGCTTCTGATAGGCTAATTGACATCATTTGAGTCAATAGGAGGTGTACCTGTGGATGTATTTCAAGGCCTACCTTCAAACTCAGTGCCTCTTTGCTTGACGTCATGGGAAAATCAAAAGAAATCAGCCAAGACCTCCACAAGTCTGGTTCATCCTTGGGAGCAATTTCCAAACGCCTGAAGGTACCACATTCATCTGTACAAACAATAGTAGGCAAGTATAAACACCATGGGACCATGCAGCCGTCATACCGCTCAGGAAGGAGACGCGTTCTGTCTCCTAGAGATGAATGTACTTTGGTGCGAAAAGTGCAAATCAATCCCAGAACAACAGCAAAGGACCTTGTGAAGATGCTGGAGGAAACAGTTACAAAAGTATCTATATCCACAGTAAAACGAGTCCTATATCGACATAACCTGAAAGGCCGCTCAGCAAGGAAGAAGCCACTGCTCCAAAACCGCCATAAAAAAGCCAGACTATGGTTTGCAACTGCACATGGGGACAAAGATCGTACCTTTTGGAGAAATGTCCTCTGGTCTGATGAAACAAAAATAGAACTGTTTGGCCATAATGACCATCGTTATGTTTGGAAGAAAAAGGGGACGGCTTGCAAGCCGAAGAACACCATCCCAACCGTGAAGCACGGGGGTGGCAGCATCATGCTGTGGGTGCTTTGCTGCAGGAGGGACTGTTGCACTTCACAAAATAGATGGCATCATGAGGAAGGAAAATTATGTGGATATATTCAAGCAACATCTCAAGACATCAGTCAGGAAGTTAAAGCTTGGTCGCAAATGGGTCTTCCAAATGGACAATGACCCCAAGCATACTTCCAAAGTTGTGGCAAAATGACTTAAGGACAACAAAGTCAAGGTATTGGAGTGGCCATCACAAAGCCCTGACCTCAATCCTATAGAAAATTTGTGGGCAGAACTGAAAAAGCGTGTGCGAGCAAGGTGGCCTACAAACCTGACTCAGTTACACCAGCTTTGTCAGGAGGAATGGGCCAAAATTCACCCAACCTATTGTGGGAAGCTTGTGGAAGGCTACCCGAATCGTTTGACCCAAGTTAAACAATTTAAAGGCAATGCTACCAAATACTAATTGAGTGTATGTAAACTTCTGACCCACTGGGAATGTGATGAAAGAAATAAAAGCTGAAATAAATTATTCTCCCTACTATTATTCTGGCATTTCACATTCTTAAAATAAAGTGGTGATCCTAACTGACCTAAGACAAAGCATTTTTACTAAGATTAAATGTCAGGAATTGTGAAAAACGTAGTTTAAATGTATTTGGCTAAGGTGTATGTAAACTTCCGACTTCAACTGTACTTACAGAGCTATATGAAATATACTCACAGAACTATAGAAAATATACTTAGCGTTATCTTCTACTAAATCAATACAGTCTGAAGATACTGGGTACTCCACACAAAACATTGTTTTGACACGTGTGCCTCTGTATGTGTGTAATCATCCAGCAATCCCTGTTGATGACGATTGTGAACTTGGCCCAGAACTTTGTGGGCAGCAACAACGTGAACATCCTGCAGCCGCTGGGTCAGTTTGGTACCCGCATCAACGGGGGCAAGGACGCTGCCAGCCCCCGTTACATCTTCACCATGCTCAGGTAAGGCCTCCGAGGGTCAAAGGTCAAAACAGAATTGTGCTAGCAATTTGATTAGTCTACTTATTGTATGATTTGTATGGGCCATTGGGCCATCCTGAAGTGCAGTCATACCTGTTTTTTTGTTTTGTTTTTTAAAGGTTAATGATACATTTAATGTTAACTTTGTTTATACATTACCTTTCATAAAACACACTCAAAATGCCACTTCCTCAGTCCCCTGGCCAAGATGTTGTTCCCAGCGGTAGACTCCAGCCTGCTGAAGTTCCTGTTCGATGACAACCAGAAGGTGGAACCAGAGTGGTACATCCCCATCCTCCCGATGGTGCTGGTGAACGGGGCCGAGGGCATCGGGACGGGCTGGGCCTGCAAGATCCCCAACTACGACCATAGAGAGATAGTCAACAACCTCTACCGCATGCTCAACATGCAGGACCCTCTGCCCATGGTATACATTTAGATGTTTGAAACTTAATTGATTACATAAGATAAGATCAACTCTATTGTCCCAGAGGGGAAATTTGTCTTGGACATACAAGCAGCCCTATTGTCCATTTGGTCTAAGAATTGTATTGCTAAAAACATATAAACTCAGATAATATTTTTGTAGATCGATACCATTATACATTAAAACCTTTTGCTAAAACACTTGTCATTTTTGAGTAGAACTGGATAAACCACCAACTTTCTGTCAGTTATAATCCAGATTTAATCCTATAGGTAATGTACAGTTTCATAATAACGGCTGACTGAATATTCCTACCCCTCTCTCCTCTCCCAGCTGCCCAGCTATAAGAACTTTAAAGGAGTGATCCATGAGTTGGGCCAGAACCAGTACATGGTCAGTGGAGAGATCTCTGTCCTGGACAAGAACACCATTGAGATCACTGAGCTGCCCGTTCGCACCTGGACACAGGTACACTATATCACACCTGTTCAGCACTTCTGGTCATCCAGTTGCTTTGACTGAATTAATAAATGAATGAAGGAGATGTTGACATGTTGTTTCTATGCTGTGATATTGTTTGTTAGTTCTTGTAATGGACTATCCCTCCCTCCCTCCCTCCCTCCCTACCTCCCTCCCCCTCCCTCCCTACCTCCCTCCCTCCCTCCAGGCCTACAAGGAGTCTGTACTAGAGCCCATGCTCCAGGGGACAGAGAAGACTCCAGCTCTGATCAATGACTATAAGGAGTACCACACGGACCAAACCGTCAAGTTTGTTGTCCGCATGTCAGAGGAGAAGTTGGCCCAGGCAGAGGCTGCAGGACTACATAAAGTCTTCAAGCTACAGTCCAGCCTCACCTGCAACTCCATGGTTAGTACCACTCCTCAAATCTGGGTCCTATTCACTAGGCACCAAACTGAAGAAAACGGACTGAAACAGGGAGAAACTACCTGAACTTGTCCAATGATAAATGCTTGTTTTCATTATCCATTGCAAAACATTTTCCTACTTTGTGCCCTATACGAGTCCCTACTCTGTATTTGAGTTGAACTGATACCTGTATTGACTCACATTGTTGATTCATTATACACACCTCTTTGGATGAAGTGCTGTTTTGTGTGTATATAGAGCACTAATCTTTCATCTTAAAGTGAAGAACAATTTTAAGTGTTCCATGATTTTTAACCAGTTTTTTTTATATTGTGGAAATGAGAGGTATCTAAAGTAGTTGCTCTTCTACCCTCAGGTGTTGTTTGACCACATGGGCTGTCTGAAGAGGTATGATTCGGTCCAGGACATTCTCAAGGAGTTCTTTGAGCTGCGGTTGCACTACTACAAGCTGAGGAAGGACTGGCTAGTGGGGAGCCTAGGGGCGGAGGCTTCCAAACTGTCCAATCAGGCACGATTTGTGCTGGAGAAGATTGAAGGAAAGATCACAATCGGTGAGAATTTTACCTGCATATCTCTCTCTCTCTGTCAAAGGGAAGGAAAGCTCTCTCAATTCTTATTTTAGTTTGCAATTTGGAATAGAATACTGATCTATTAATGTTTGTCTACAGAGAACAAGTCTAAGAGGGAACTGATCAGGATGCTGGTGCAGAAAGGCTTTGAGTCTGACCCCGTTGCGGCATGGACCAAGGCACAGGAAAAGGTACTGTTAGCATCCTGCCACTGTCCAACATTCAGCCCTGTGATTGGCTGAGACCGCTTGACGCTTTAAAACCCTGTATTCTAATTGGACTATGTGTCTTCCTGCTCTCTCCCTATAGGCTCTGGAGGAGGACGATCGTGATGGTAACGACAGTGACAGCTCTGTGGACTCTGGGTCGTCGTCGGGACCAAACTTCAACTACATCCTCAACATGCCTCTGTGGTGCCTGTCCAAGGAGAAGGTGGACGAGCTGCTCCGACAGAGAGACATCAAGGTGCTGACTCAGAGAGGAAGGGTGTAGACACCCGACTGTCAAGGACTTGCAATTCAATTCAATAGATCTTTATTGTCCCCAAAAGGCTATTAATTTGCAGCAACATTACACAAGTAGGCAAGGTCTGAGTGTCTCTTTTCTAACGGTTGTGTGTGTTTTGTTCTTGGAGCATAGTGAGTGCATATCTGTACTTTTTTAGTATGTGTATGTGGTCCTGGCGGGAAATGAACCCACAACCTTGGTGTTGCTAGCGCCACATATTTTATCAACTGAGTGTGTGTTGTTCAACAGAAAGGAGAGTTGAATGAGCTGCAGAGGAAGTCTCCAGAAGACCTGTGGAAGGAGGACCTGGCTGTCTTCATTGAAGAACTGGATGTGAGTTATGCTAGCGCTACATGTAGTGGTGCCACTCCTCTCTGAGTCACTGCTTAAGAGACTACTGTGATTTATACCTACTAGTGTGAGACTGCTTTTGTTGAGGAGAAGTCGGGTACCTTCAAGGTTTCTTTCTCCTGGCCTTACTAAAGGCAGATCTATTTGTAGAAAAAAAAAAGTGGGATTTATTTTGTTTGGGTTTTATCTCCTTTCATTTTTACATTTACATTTTACATTTTAGTCATTTAGCAGACGCTCTTATCCAGAGCGACTTACAGGAGCAATTAGGGTTAAGTACCTTGCTCAAGGGCACATCGACAGATTTTTCACCTAGTCGGCTCGGGGATTAGAACCAGCGACCTTTCGGTTACTGGCACAACGCTCTTAACCACTAAGCTACCTGCCGCCCCCTTTCACTGTAAACCGTCAACATTGATGTCACCTCAATACAAGTGACTTACACGATTTACAAAAGGTGACAGGTGTATTCTCTCCTCGTGTGTGTGACAGAAAATCGAGGCCCAGGAGCAAGCAGACATGAGTGCAGGTAAAGGTACCAAGCTGGTGAAGGGCAAGGTGGGCAAGCCCAAGGTTAAGAAACTCCACCTGGAGGAGACGTTACCCTCGCCATACGGCCGCAGGGTCGTACCCACCATCACACAGGCCATGAAGACTGACGCCTCCAAGAAGATGATCAAGAAGAAGAAGGTAACACATTTCGTTTTTAAAATGGATTATGCCTCATTGTTAAAGGCCCAGTCTGTGATATTTTATGACAATTTCGCTCATTTTATTTGGTAATTTATACCCATTGATTCTTGAAGAATATCACGTATCAATGCCTTATGAGGTTAGTTCAACTGTATAACTCCCATCATAGCACAAAATAAAACTCAATTGTTTGCGTTGGTCTCAGTGTGTTTTCAGGCTGTAGACATGACATACAGTGGGGGAAAAAAGTATTTAGTCAGCCACCAATTGTGCAAGTTCTCCCACTTAAAAAGATGAGAGAGGCCTGTAATTTTCATCATAGGTACACGTCAACTATGACAGACAAATTGTGGGGGAAAAATCCAGAAAATCACATTGTAGGATTTTTAATGAATTTATTTGCAAATTATGGTGGAAAATAAGTATTTGGTCACCTACAAACAAGCAAGATTTCTGGCTCTCACAGACCTGTAACTTCTTCTTTAAGAGGCTCCTCTGTCCTCCACTCGTTACCTGTATTAATGGCAAAAGTTTGAACTTGTTATCAGTATAAAAGACACCTGTCCACAACCTCAAACAGTCACACTCCAAACTCCACTATGGCCAAGACCAAAGAGCTGTCAAAGGACACCAGAAACAAAATTGTAGACCTGCACCAGGCTGGGAAGACTGAATCTGCAATAGGTAAGCAGCTTGGTTTGAAGAAATCAACTGTGGGAGCAATTATTAGGAAATGGAAGACATACAAGACCACTGATAATCTCCCTTGATCTGGGGCTCCACGCAAGATCTCACCCCGTGGGGTCAAAATGATCACAAGAACGGTGAGCAAAAATCCCAGAACCACACGGGGGGACCTAGTGAATGACCTGCAGAGAGCTGGGACCAAAGTAACAAAGCCTACCATCAGTAACACACTACGCCGCCAGGGACTCAAATCCTGCAGTGCCAGACGTGTCCCCCTGCTTAAGCCAGTACATGTCCAGGCCCGTCTGAAGTTTGCTAGAGTGCATTTGGATGATCCAGAAGAGGATTGGGAGAATGTCATATGGTCAGATGAAACCAAAATATAACTTTTTGGTAAAAACTCAACTCGTCGTGTTTGGAGGACAAAGAATGCTGAGTTGCATCCAAAGAACACCATACCTACTGTGAAGCATGGGGGTGGAAACATCATGCTTTGGGGCTGTTTTTCTGCAAAGGGACCAGGACGACTGATCCGTGTAAAGGAAAGAATGAATGGGGCCATGTATCGTGAGATTTTGAGTGAAAACCTCCTTCCGTCAGCAAGGGCATTGAAGATGAAACGTGGCTGGGTCTTTCAGCATGACAATGATCCCAAACACACCGCCCGGGCAACGAAGGAGTGCCTTCGTAAGAAGCATTTCAAGGTCCTGGAGTGGCCTAGCCAGTCCAGATCTCAACCCCATAGAAAATCTTTGGAGGGAGTTGAAAGTCCGTGTTGCCCAGCGACAGCCCCAAAACATCACTGCTCTAGAGGAGATCTGCATGGAGGAATGGGCCAAAATACCAGCAACAGTGTGTGAAAACCTTGTGAAGACTTACAGAAAACGTTTGACCTGTGTCATTGCCAACAAAGGGTATATAACAAAGTATTGAGAAACTTTTGTTATTGACCAAATACTTATTTTCCACCATAATTTGCAAATAAATTCATTAAAAATCCTACAATGTGATTTTATGGATTTTTTTTCTCTCATTTTGTCTGTCATAGTTGACGTCATCTTTTTAAGTGGGAGAACTTGCACAATTGGTGGCTGACTAAATACTTTTTTCCCCCACTGTATCGCTGTGTGTGTGTTGTCCTCAGGGTGATGCGGACCTGGTGATGAAACTGGAGTTTGATGATGAGATGGGAGTGCTGGGGTCAGACGGAGGAACAGGGGAGAACTCCCTCAACTCATCCTCTAATACACCAGCCCCGGCCCCGGCCTCAGCCAAGCCCAAGGCCCCTCGGATCAAACGGGAGAAGAAGGAGCCAGGTCAGCAGATATTCCATTCTCCTTTCATATGTCTGTCATCTTATTGAGATGGGTTCAGTCATGAATTGGGGAGAGGGGGAGACAGCTGAGAGGGATACACAGTGAGGAAGGTGGTGGACACAAGGATTTTATCCCCACCTCTTGGGGCAATTCGTATATGGGAGTCAGAAGTGTTACCTCTAGAGCAAACTTTGTTAATTTATGTTAATCACACATGAACTCTCACACATCGACACAGTTTCAGGACTTCATGGCTATTAAATGAAAGATACAAATTGGAATGAATAAACCCTTTTCTCTATATCAGGTGCTCCCAGAGCCAGGAAACCCCCAGCACTCAAAGGAGCATCTGGTAAGAAGGTGAAGAAGCGTAACCCCTGGTCGGAGGACGAGTCCAAATCAGAGAGCGACCTGGAGGACAGTGAACCTGTGGTCATCCCCCGAGACATCAAGTCACAACGGGCCTCAGGTAACCACTTACAGTGCCTTCGGAAAGTATTCAGACCCCTTGACTTTTTCCACATTTTGTTAGGTTACAGCCTTATTCTAAAATTGATTAAATTGTTTTTTTTCCCCCTCATCAATCTACACACAATACCCCATAATGACAAAGCAAAAACAAATTTGTATACATTTTTGCTAATTTATAAAAAAATTAAAAAATAAGATCACATTTACGTAAGTATTCAGACCCTTTACTCAGTACTTTGTTGAAGCACCTTTGGCAGCGATTACAGCCTCAAGTCTTCTTGGGTATGACGCTACAAGCTTGGCATACCTGTATTTGGGGAGTTTCTCCCATTCTTCTCTGCATATCCTCTCAAGCTCTGTCAGGTTGGATGGGGAGCGTTGCTGCACAGCTATTTCCAGGTCTCTCCAGAGATGTTCGATCGGGTTCAAGTCCAGGCTTTGGCTGGGCCACTCAAGGACATTCAAAGACTTGTCCCGAAGCCACTCCTGCGTTGTCTTGGCTGTGTGCTTAGGGTCGTTGTCCTGTTGGAAGGTGAACCTTGGCCCCAGTCTGAGGTCCTGAGCACTCTGGAGCAGGTTTTCATCAAGGATCTCTCTGTACTTTGCTCAGTTCATCTTTCCCTCGATCCTGACTAGTCTCCCAGTCCCTGCCGCTGAAAAACATCCCCACAGCATAATGCTGCCACCACCATGCTTCACCATTGGGATGGTGCCAGGTTTCCTCCAGACGTGACGCTTGGTCATTCAGGCCGAAGAGTTCAATCTTGGTTTCATCAGACCATGTGCATTTTACTGAGGAGTGGTATCCGTCTGGCCACTCTACCATAAAGGCCTGATTGGTGGAGTGCTGCATAGATGCTTGTCCTTCTGGAAGGTTCTCCCATCTCCACAGAGGAACTCTAGAGCTCAGTCAGAGTGATCATCAGGTTCTCCCTGATTGGTCCCTGAGGCCATTTTGAAATGTTTAAAAGCCTCATTCCTTCTTATTTCTGTAAAACCCTGAATAATGCCAAAGCCGAAACACGTTGGTTCTTCTGCAATAAAACACACACAGACACACACACACACTTATAATGAACTTTGTCTGTTCCTCAGCGGCCAAGCCCAAGTACACCTTTGATTTCAGTGAGGAAGAGGATGGAGGAGAGGAAGAGGAGGAGGATGATGATGATGCTGATGCTGCGTCCTCACCAGCCCGGCCCTGCAAAGACGACTTCACCGCCTCCTCCGAGACTAAAGACCGATACAGCGACGATGACGAGGATGATGAAGATATCTTCCCACCGCCCAAACAGACCACCATCAACATCTCACCAGCGAAGGAGAAGGAACCAGAGAGTATATTCTCCCCCTCCAAATCAGCCTTCTCCTCTGAAAAGAGCAATGACAGTGGTGAGTTCACACTACAAGCTCAGCATGTTTGCCTTGTCATGTGCTTTCTTTGTCATGTGGTCCTCTGTAGCTCAATTGGTAGAGCATGGCGCTTGTAACGCCAGGGTAGTGGGTTCGATCCCCGGGACCACCCATACGTAAAAATGTATGCGCACATGACTGTAAATCGCTTTGGATAAAAGTGTCTGCTAAATGGCATATTATTATTATATTATTATTTAGTAAAAGGTTAAAGATGTTTACGATCTTGTCGTTATTTCAAGTCTTGTGTGTTTGTCTATGAAAAAGGACTGTGTGTAAATAAGCTCCTAGTCCCGGTGTTCATCTGAGGGTTAATGTCTGTTACTCTTCTCTTCCAGATGATCTGAATTTGGACAGTGACGGGGAAGACAAGGCCTTCTCCTCATACTACAGCAGCTCTGCTTTCGACAAACCTGTCCCAGCTAAGAAAGGTAACGCACAGAACCATATAATGTATCCATCTACAGTCTGGCCACATTAAACAGATGTACACTTTGGAGTGTACATTTGTGTACCTCCATTAAGTATGGTACTGTATGTAACGTTACATTTCAAATTAAATAATGGTCTGGTTACTTAAAACAGAACGATAGGGAGGTTGGTTGGGTGTACACCGTGACAGTCTACATTTACATTTACATTTTAGTCATTTAGCAGACGCTCTTATCCAGAGCGACTTACAGTTAGTGCATACATTATTTTATTTTTTTATACTGTCCCCCCGTGGGAATTGAACCCACAACCCTGGCATTGCAAACGCCATGCTCTACCAACTGAGCTACATCCCTGCCGGCCATTCCCTCCCCTACCCTGGACGACGCTGGGCCAATTGTGCGCCGCCCCATGGGTCTCCCGGGTCACGGCCGGCTACGACAGAGCCTGGATTCGAACCAGGATCTCTAGTGGCACAGCTAGCACTGCAATGCAGTGCCTTAGACCACTGCGCCACTCGGGAGGTGTTTAAAAGCCTCATTCCAAAGGTTGTGTTTTTGAGTCACGTCGGGGACAACTGTAGCATTTTAGCTAACCCTTCCCAAACCATAACCTAATTCTCATTACCTTCTACGGAAATTCTCCTAACCTTTGTTGTTAGTTCTCCTAACCTTTGTCGTTAGGAATGACACAACAAGCAGCCTGGTCTCAGCCAGACTTATAATACTATAAGTCCTCCAAGACGTATGATACATTACATCCTCCAATTCGTATGATATTGTGTGGCCGCTATTACATTCATAACGTAACATATTATATACTAAATGGACAGACTCAAATTTACCTCCCAAATCTTACGAGTTTCCCTGAGGACAGGTTGCGATCTATGACTCTGGTAACACACACATCTGCCACTAGAGGGAGCACTAATGCAAATCACACTACCAACATGGGTTAAAAAGATACTGATAATGTTGTTGATGCTGCTGCTGAATGTAGTGCACTATATAGGGAATAGGGTGCCTTTTTAGACGCAGTCATGGTGTCTTGCTGAGATCCATATTGGTATTGATTGGCTCACTCTCTGTTACTCACAGCAGCTAAGAATGCAACTCCCAAACCCAGGAAAGCACCAGCACCCAAAGCGCCACCCAAACAGAAGCTGGACACGTCCGTCTGGGACTCGGACTCCGATACCGACTCCAAGAAGCCTGCACCAGCACTCAAAGGTGTACATGCTTACCTCACAATGACCAGTGGAGAATCAGTCACCATACATTTCTCTATGAATATAAAAGATTGACATAGTGTAAACTGACTATAACAGGGATCTCCAACTCCGGTCCTGGAGAGCTACTAGGTGTGCAGGTTTATAATCCAGCTCTTCAGTAGCACGCCTGTTTAAAATCTTCACCTATTCATCTTCAGTCTGAATCAGGTGTGTTACTGCAGGGTTTGAATGAAAGCCTGCACACCCAGTAGCTCTTCAGGACCGAAATGTTGAAAAACCCTGGACTGTAGCTTGTTCTCTATGAACATATAATCTGTTCTGAGTATAACCGTAATATTAACTGAGTGTAACCTGGTTATGAACTGAGTGTAACCTGGTTATGAACTGAGTGTAACCTGGGTGTGTTTCTCCTGACCTGTGCAGGTAAAGGCGGAGGGAGGAAGAGGAAGCAGTCTGGATCTGAAGAGGATGATTTCAGTCCCAAGAAAGCTCCTGGGAAAGCACCCAAATCCCCCGCCAGCAGGGTACGAGTGTGTGTGTGTGTGTGTGTGTCATTTGAATCATATAGGATATAAGAAGATACTGAAAAAACAAAGACTGTAATAACCATACAGGATACTTAGTGTCTTCTCTTGTCTTCCCCCTGTGTAGAAGCCATCAAAGAAAGCAGCCGCGGCCTCGCCCCCCATGTCAGATGATGATGATGACGTGGACTCCAACCGTTTCAGCCAATCCAGCGTGGCGTCCCGAGAACGACCGGGCAGAGGCAGGGCCAAGAAGGAAGTGAAGTACTTTGTTGAGTCAGGGTCAGACGACGATCAGTACGACATGTTCGACTAGACCATGGAATCTCTCCCACACACAGGCTCTGTTCCAATGCTATTGAAATGCTTCCTCCCTCCCTTGAAGTAATCACAGATCTTCATTGGTTGGACTGGGGAAAGTAATAGGTTGGTACCCTTGTTTTCACCTATCCAATCACTTACTATCTGTGATCACCTCCAGGAAATCAGAAAGGATGGATTTTTAAACAATTTGAACAGCGCTATTTACACACCGCTTGAGTAATTTGTCACGTGCATCCTTCCTTCTTCACTTCCTAGAATAAATCATGTGAGAGGTGGGGATAGGTGTAGCAGTGGTTTGTATACCTATCCAGTCATGTCCGATCAGGAAGGAAGGATTTCGTTTTGAAGTATTCAACCAGAACCAGACACATGCTCGTGGAAATGCCCGTGCCGCAGACTTTTGTACACCCCCCCCCCCCCCCCCCCTCCTCCTCTTTTATTTTATTTTAATGGTGATGTTTAATGCTTTCTACTGTGTAGGTGTTTTACACTTTTTATTATACATACAATACAATTTTGTTTTTTTATTATTACCATGGAAATGTTCTGTATTTGTCCTAAGCAGCTTTTAGAAGTTAGGAACGCGGTGCTTCAGCACATTTTAACTGTTAAAAAGTAAACAAGAGACATTGTACCTTTTTGAACAAGAACTTGGAAGTAAACAATGAAATGTAAATTATTCTCTGGCCGTTGGGTTTTCTGTCCGTTGAATGTGATTTTTCTTAATTGACTTCACTCTCTTTCCTGCGGAGCAGAACCTTAGGAACATGATTCTCTCTCTCTCTCTCTATCTCTCTCTATCTCTCTCTTTCTCTCTCTTCTCTCTCTCTCTCTCTCTCTCTCTCTCTCTCTCTCTCTCTCTCTCTCTCTCTCTCTCTCACACACAGTATTCAAGGCTTCGAGGTTACAGTAAATCTAAATATTCCGGTTATAATACATCCACGCATTTATGTATTTTAAAATAAATATATTTGTATTACTTTGCCAGGACATTTCATGGTAAAGTTAAACAGTATATTAACATAAAAAGCATTGTTAATGTACAAACAGACAATATTGAAAATGGAGAACAAAAACAAGATAAAAGCTCACCGTAAAGCTCCTTTATAAGGACTTCCTGCCTTCTCTTCCCACCAGGCCAGCAGGAGGTTTTGGCTAAATGTATAATCACCATGAAAACCCCTCCCTGCTGCCCCGCCCACCCTCAAGTGCAGTAAGACAAAGTTAACTCAACCATCATTTGATCATGTCTCTTCATAATAGCTATACAACACTGCATATGATGACAATGTGATTTTTCTGATACCGATGGCAATCATATACATTAACACTTTTTGAACAGGCATAACAACAGAGCTGCTTTCATTGGTGACATTTTTTGAGGTTCACAATCATGTTCTCTCTGGCTTCTACTGAATAGTTGGATCATGAGCCGCGTTCAGTAGGGCACACAGCATTGTGGTACGTTCAGATAAAAATATGTTGCGTAGAACAGACACCACTGACTTGTAGAGTATGGAATCATTATGCCAGCTCTATTCAGTGTATTTCTATCTGCGATGTTTAGTACGTTGCCCCCTTCCTGAACGCGATCCACATGTATTGATCTTATTCCGTTATTGATAAATTGCTGTCAATTGATTGATTGTGACAGCTGCTTGGCATTCCAACTAAAGAGGGGAAAGCAGCTCTGTTGTTTGATCAGCGATGACATTGGGGGAACTAGGGTTTCAGAATTCCGGAAACGTTTCAAAAATTCCCTGTAAAATTTTACAAAAAACCTGTTGAAGAGTTCCAGGTTGGAAATTCCTTTAGCTTATTCCCTCCACATTCCGAAAAACCTCCAACCATGATTCCTTAAAAAAAGTGAATTTTGGGAACGTTTCTGGAATTTTGCAACTCTATGGTGAACCCATGCTCAGGTACTGAGACCACTTGGTCCTAAAGTGTGTGGGGGTGAGCAGCTGCTACCCAAGAGGAGCTGGCTATGAGATGAAGCTCTGAGAGGTCAGGTAGCCAAGCGCTGCCATTCGTTGAAATGCAAAGCACACCACACACACACCATCTAATACATGGAGAAGTCTGCAGTGAGATAGTAGTAGTAGTAGTAGTAGTAGTAGTAGTAGTAGTAGTAGTAAATATTAACAGTTACATCGGTACAACATTCAACAGAAATCAACGTAGTAAATTCAGCATTGTGGAATGGATAGTTCCCTGCCGTGTCCACCTGGTGCCTGTAGGCTGCGCTGTGGACACTTTAGGGAGTTGGATGTAGACATTCTTCAGCTGTGAAACAAGTTTTCCAGCTTCAAAGACACTCGGGGTAAATCTCAAGTCTTACCTTGATTCATCACATCCTCGATTCCTCACCTCCTCAACAACACACATTGGCGGAGAAGGTCTGAGGTTCTGCACCCTTTCCTTCAATGCGTTTTGAGAAGTTGGAGAGGAATGTAGGGAAGACTATTGAGATTAACCCACACTGCTCTTGTGATGAGCCACCAGGATCGTTTCCCCCTACATCCTTCTCTCCCTTATAGGGAAAGAGAGCATTTCATTTTTTTCATACATACGTAAGTATTCCTTTAACACTGCATATCATTCCTATGTAACTCCTGGACGACATATTCACATTCAAACATGGTCAAACTGAGACAGTTTTGTTTTTCCCTTAAGATATTATGTATTACATGTGGGATGGATATAGAGGAGATAGTTGTGTGTGAGATGTTTCTGGAGGGTTCTAGCCAGTGTTGGGGTCAATTCCATATCAAGTCCGTCCATTCCGGAAGTAAACTGGAATAATTAAATTGGAATTGACCCCAACCTTGGTTCTAGCTGACTGACTATAGCGGTCATCTATTCCCTTGTGGTTCAACAATTACTTTTGCCTCTATTCAGAATAAAAAACCTTCTGATCATTATACCTCTGAGATGAATGACTCAATAATCACCCATAATAGTTTATGCCAAATTATTATTACCCTTAAGAATGAGAAAGAATATTGTATATTACGATCACACTTAACATTGTATTGGCTACATATGATTCACAGGTTCAAGATTTATAAGTGCTATGAGAAGTATTGCCTTTGTGCTACAGTTGAGTAACTTGTCAACATCTGAGTAAACAATACTATCTATCCTTATCCTTTCAACCACAAGGGATACCAGGCTAGGACAGGTAATAAGGGACTGAAGAGGTCCTAGTTCTTCCTAGCTGTACTATGAACTTCATAGCCTGGCTTCCACACTGAATATCACTCTGTTTCACTTCACAATAATGGAACAAACGGAGCAATATTCAATGTGTATACTAGACTATTAACTTTATAAATAGTGTCCAAATTCTAATCTGTGATTTATGGCTAGATTCAACCCATAGCGCTGAATATCCGCGGTATAGTGCAATTGAAAGTTAAAGGTAATCTCCGATTGAGCCGACATACACAGCGTTTACCGTGAATGCAGTCTCTGCGAACGCGGGAACATTGCCTTTAAATTATAATCACAGTATGAAAAATGTATGCACTCACTAACTGTAAGTCGCTCTGGATAAGAGCGTCTGCTAAATGACTAAAATGTAAATGTATACCGCAGATCTTCAGCGCTACGGATTGAATCTAACGCCTAGGCTCTGAAGAAAAGCAGCATTACTAAGAATATATTTATAAGATCAGGAGGGCTGTTGCGGCGGCCGATGTGGGACATCATTCCTCACCCCTGAGAAAAATAACTATAGCGGATCTGTCGTCCAAAACACAAAGCAGTGCTGCGTTCAGGAGGTAATGTTACAGATAGAAATGTCTTGTTGTTACAGAGCTGACATGATTCCCTATTCTACATGACAGAGAAGAGCATTTCTACATAATATAGTTATATCTGAACATTCTGTGATGTTGCACCCCGAATGAACGCTACCCGAGCTTGTCTACCTATAGTTACTGCACATCTCAGGGGTTAAGGGTCATGTGTAAAGAATCTCATTTGCATCACCGTCTGAGGAGCAAGGCAACAGTCAGTCATTATGTCTGTAGAACTAGAACTAAGAATGCGTAGTGGGGTCTAGAACCCCATACATGTGCAGCTAGATAGAACATTAGTCTAGTGTACAATCTTCCCGGCCAAGTGGTTAGCTCATGAATATGTATTTTAAGGATTGCAATGTCCCCGTGGTTTACTGTCAAAACAAGACACTTATGTATGTATATAAGGGGTAGGTAGTGATTCTGGGGGTACAGGACTCCTTTGAAACCCTGGCCCAGAACCCAATGTGCGTTTTGTGTTGCCCAGATGATTGTAGTTGCCGTTAGCCATAAATGTACAATTACTAGATTGAAACTGCATCAGAGAAACAATTTTGATTTTACTATAATAAGAATGCATTTCTCTTCACAGATGGTGGAGAATTTTCAAGATAATTGCGAGGGAACTTCAAATATACTGTATAACCAAATTCATTTTAAAACAACAGTTCAATTTCTCAGTGGCGCAAGTTTGGGTTAAATAAAGGATTCGTCAATGGGCGTCACTCAACCCTTATATTTTTCACTGGTTAAGACTGCTTGGTTTGTCTCTTGGAATGTCATTTTCTGATAAAATCTCAGAAGCCTTTTAGCCTCAGAAGCCCTGTACATTACATTACAAGCTGTTATCTGTGGTAGACAGACCCAATCTAGTAATTTAACATCTAGATTCAATCTAGTCATTGTATATCTATGGCCTCTACAGTCTGGCTTTCCCCCCTTGAGGAAACAGCTGAAGAGATGCAGCCGCTGATACGGGAGAAGCCTCTAGCACTGGCTTTATGGTGAATGTAATGTACACTCAACGAGACATCAACATAATGTAAATGTAATGTAATAACATAAAGAGTTAAAAAAGACAAAACTCCAAATAATTAAATTAAATATAGGAACAAATATAAAGTATTAGTCTTCCATACTGTCTATATGCAAGAACATTCTATGTAACTGTTTTTGTAAAGGACTTTATATTTTAGCCCCCCTTTAAACCTTGTCATGTATGTACTGTTTCGCCTTAAACTATAATATTTAAGACAATGAAAAAAGCACCACAAAATTCATCATAGAAACAGAGATTTCTAACCATACAATGGTATGTACAATGTATTCAACAATATGAGAGAGCGAGAGAGGGAGAGAGCGAGAGAAAAAGAGAGGGAGAGAGATTAAAACAACGCATTAAACTCGGCAAGCCCGTCATGCAGGGATACATTTACACAGGAGACCTGAGGAGGATGACCTATGACCTTTGTGTACAGGTAAGTGGGTGTGGCCGGACGGGGTCAAACCCATCTCGACCAATCACACCCTAGTCGCCGAAACACAACCGCAATCAATTTAGGATTATACACAAAACAACCACTGGTCCTTTTAGGCCTTAGTGTTGTCGTTTTTTAAGGGGAAATTAAGAGATAAAGAGAGAGAGAGAGAAGGAAAAAACAAATGTAAAGGATAACATAAGAACAAGCAAAGGTGGTGGTGGTCACCAAGGGACTGAAGGCCTGAGGGGAGGAGGAGAGGGGGTCCACCATGCCTGGCTGTCAACCTATTTTTAGTTGGTTTTTTTTTGTACAAAGGAATGTCAGAGAGAGAGAGTGTCAGTTCCACGGGCACCTAGGGGTCCTCTTCCTCCTCCTCCTCCTCCTCCTCCTCCTCCTCCTCCTCCTCAGGGGCCGCTGTGGGCCCATCGCTGTCTGAGGGGTCAGGGGACACAGGGGAGGGTTTACCCCCCTTACCCCTCTTAGGGGTGCCCTTCTTGGGGCTGCTGCCGTCCTCGCCCTGGGTGCTGCTCTGGCCGTCTTGGCCCTCTGAGTTCTCCAGCATCTCCTGGATCAGAGGAGGCATGGAGCCAGGGATCTCCATCTTCAGCGAGATGACCCGCTCCGCACCTGGAGGGAAAGGAAAGGACATATTGCAAAACAAATAGGGCACATGTGTACAAAGTATGCCTACTGAAATGCTATTGAATCTATAGTGTGCTCATTTCTACTCAGTTGTATTAGTATATGAGTCTCTGTGATGTCTGTACCTTTGGCGCTGATGCTGCGGAGGTCAGTGATCTTCATCAGGGCCTTGGGGAACATGTGTGGCTTGCTGGGCCTCCTCTTCCTCACGTAGATCTTCAGAGCTTCCAGTAGAGGCTCCTGGAGGTGGTCGACCTTAGAGGGTTCCTCCAGGTCCTGACGGTCTGAGAGAGAGAGAGACAGACAGAGTCACATAGGCTACGTATGACCAAGGAGTTAGAAAGACACACACCAGAGTCATACAGTAGGGCAACACATGGCTAGGCCTTTACCAGGCCATATGCCCCATGAGCTTGCACTTTTATATAGTTTGGCATAAAAGGAGTTGTGTAAATGTCTAGAAACTCGGTTAGAAGTAATCCGACTTGAACGGTTTCCATGGAACATTAAAAGGGTGTCAAATATGTAGTAGGAAAAATATATCAAATTCCACCAAATTATTTTTATTAAATACTGCACAGTTCTCTAAAGCCAGGAGCCCTATATGACATTTGTATCACATTTTGTAAAGCTTGCATTACCACTTCAGTCCATAAGGGGTCAGTGTGTGTGTGTTGAAAGCACCAGCTCCTGCTGTGGGACCTGAGACCTGCCAGTCACAGAGTCACATTACTGATAGCCACAGCAGAGTGCTTAGTTCTTCCCCCAGTGGATTATACAACAGCACGCAATATATGGCAAGACTCTGGGGATTCAAACCTTGGAATGGAAACTTTCCACAATAGCCCAGTCACACACTGCAGGGGAGGAGCGTGTGTCAGAGTGTGTTTGTAACTGCATTATGCAAGAATGTAGATCTCACTGTATGTGTGTGTGTGTGTGTGTGTTTTAATTCATGTCTGCCTGCCCTGTCCCAGCTGAGGGAGAACTACTGCCTGGGGTGTTGTGTGCTGAAACAGGCTGAACGGAACAGACTCATTTCCTGTGAGAAGAACAGTCCAACACAGACACACACACACACACACAGCCACACACACACACACCCTGTCTCATACATTGCCTCACAGAGATGGACCTGTGGAGGACCTGATTCCAGACTTTGTGTCTGTCTGTCTGTCAGTCTAAGTCTGTATCAAATGTTTTCCATTCGGAGTTTGACTGCCTTTCTAATGACTTGTTAAAGCTTCACATCTGCCACAAAGTCACCCTCTGCCACCTTAGACTCTGGGCAACTTTTACTACTTAAATCACCTTCTCTCTGTCTCTGTCACTGATCACTCTCTCTCCTTGCAGAAAGAAAGTGAAGAAAGTGTAGTGTACCTCCAGAGATGAGGCAGATGGCGCTGAGCAGGCCTGTCTCTGTGTCGTCCATCTCCATGGGCAGCAGCTGGTGGGCGAAGGTGAACACCAGGTCGGTGAGCGGGCCGAAGCCTGCGTTGTGCATCTGGGTCCGGTTCAGGGTCAGCCCGTCTGAGAACGTCATGGTGTCCTGGTCCGGAGTGTACCGCGTACAGATACGTAGAATCTATATGACGGGACAGGAGAGGAGAGATAATTATACATTATGTATACACACAGTATCTGGGAGAGGAGAGGGACAGTGAGGGGAGAAGAGAGGAGGCGAAGGGGGACGAAGAGGAGGAGAGGACAGTGAGGGGTGAAGAGGAAGAGGGGACAAAGTGAGGGAGAAGAGGAGAGAGGGACAGTGAGGGAGAAGAGAAAGAGGGACAGTGAGGGAGAGAAGAGGTGAGAGGGACAGTGAGGGGGAGAAGAGGAGAGAGGGACAGTGAGGGAGAGAAGAGGAGAGAGGGACAGTGAGGGGGAATTGAGGAGAGAGGAGAGAGGGACAGTGAGGGAAGAAGAGGAAAGAGGGACAGTGAGGGGAGAAAGGTATGAGAGAGGGACAGTGAGGGAGAGAATGAGGAGAGAGGACAGTGAGGGAGGAGGAAGGGAGGAAGAGGGATGAGGGAGGAGAGGTGAGAGGGACAGTGAGGGGAGAAGAGGAGAGAGAGAGGGACAGTGAGGGAGAGAAGAGGAAAGAGGGACAGTGAGGAGGGAAGAGGTGAGAGGGACAGTGAGGGGAGAAGAGAGAGAGGGACAAGTGGGAGATGGAGGGAGAGAAGAGAGAGGAGAGGGCGTGAGGGGTTAGAATGGGAGGACACCTGGGTGAGGGACGTGAGGGAGAGGAGAGGGACAGTGATGAGGGAGAGAAGAGGGAGATGGGACGTGGAATGAAGAGAATGAAGGGCAGGGGGCAGTGAGGGAGGGAAGATGGAGGGAGTGAGGCATGAGAGGGCATGGGGTGACGGGAAGGGCGTATAAAAGGACGGGGAATGAAAATGGGGGGGGGTTGAATGATAGAGAGGGTGACCAGTGGTGAAGGGGGGGAATAAGAGTGAGAAGGGCAAGGGTGAAGGGCTCCCTCTCTTCGTTCTCTTCTCTCTCTCATTACTGAGGCTATATTATCACAGCACTACTCCCAAATAAACTAATAAACAAACAGCACTCAGCAAGGGCCGATCTTCTAACAATGTGCTCCCCCGTGTTTCAGATCCCTGCTCCAGAAAAACAGCAACCCAGACAAATATGAACAAAAACAACCTCACTGCAGAAACACGTATTTCAATCCTTAATTAGATTTGGAGCCGAGATACATCTGAAACACTAACCTAATGTCCTCTGATTAAGGTTGGCTCCTCTACATACTGATCAACTGTCAGGATCAATTAACCTGCTCTTCTATTGGCTGGCTGCGCAAACCGACCAATAAGGTCTAAGGACCGGACTCTAGGGAGGAAGTTCAGAGGTTAAACCCAACCCCCTGTAGGTTTCAGTGTATTGACTAGCTACCTCAGTGGAGAGAGCAAACCCAGTTATCAGAGATCTTTAGACACTAAACAGTACAGATGGAATTAGGCTAAACCTTTTCTCATTAAATAGAAACCTGCTCATTTGGTTACGTGGTAAAGGTACGCTATGTGTTTCTGCATCAATTGACAGTGCTAATCTGTGTAATTTGTTAGGATAGCACAATTACCTCTGTGATAACATTTGCATAAATTAACACTGAGTAGTA